ATATTTTTCAATATTTTGTGCTATTAGGGTTCCGAGCATTAATTGTACAAAAAATACTAACTAATTAAAAAATAGCATATTACAAAATATTAATATAAAAAATATATATATATATATATATATTAAAAAATCCTATATTTTTTTGGTTTTTTATTCTTTTTTTTTTTTATTGTAAACAACTTACCCGTGGCATGTTGGCAAAAATATGTTGGTGAAGATGTTAGATATTTTGAAATAGTCAAACTTTGAATCGTGAATGGCAGTGTAAAGTTCTTGGCTCCCCTTTTCGATGTTCGATGTTCTCTTTGGGGGATCGACAACAGGGTGCGGTTGCGTTTGCCACGGACGGTCGGCTTTTACTAAGCGTCGCTATCGGTATCGCGAGGCTTCTACCTTCATCCTGAACCACCCTCGTGGCTTCGCGTGCAGAGTCACCCCTAACTGCTTCCACGCGCACCCTCACGAGGAGCCCTTTCCCGATGAAGGAGATGGGGTCGGAGAACGAATAACTCTCATTCAACGAACACACACACACACACACATAAACATATACATGGTGATTCTTATTTTTAGTCCATATGTTCAATTTGTATTCTTTTTTTATACAGCTTTACAGCTTTGTATTGCTTCCGTATAGATTTCTTATTTAATTCAATCTTTTTATTTTGCTTTTTTTTTATTTAAATATAATAAATATCTTACTAATTATAAATATTTTATGTAAATTAAATTTATAAATTATGAAATTTACAATGTTGATGTCAAAAATATAGAAGATTCAGAATTACTATTTTAAACTTTATTGTGTGAAATGTTATTCTTATACTAATTATATATATATATATATATATATATATTAGTATTATATTACAATTTTATTATAATATATATAATTTTATTTCTATTGTGCAGTAACTTAATTCATCCACCGTAAAAAAATCCACCGAAGTAAAATTTTATATTTTTATAACTATAAACAAAATTATCGATTAAAATTATTATATATAAATAATTATATATATTTCTTAGATTTAATAACGCATGTTGATTTCTTTTTAAAATAAAAAAAATAAATCATCGATTTATTTATCATCATATTAAATATATTTTAATGTTCAATTTGACTTTCTTAAAATCGAAAAAATGATATATTTAATTAGATTGTATATGATCATATTAAAATAATTTATTACGTTATTTTCGACCAATTCTAATAATAAAAATCAACCGAGATGTAGAATATCTCAATAAACGTATGATAAATGATTGAACACGTTGTTTAATCTTATTTTATAATAAGAGCAGAGTGTGCATAAATATTTACTTTATTAAAGGCTTAAGATCACAGAGTAATATTACGTAGGAGATTGAAAATTGTTCATCAGAGAAATAATACGAAGATAAAGATTATTATTATTATTATTATTATTATTATTATTATTATTATTATTATTATTACTTATAGGGTCGCATTTACATTTTTGGAACTCCTAAATATAATATTTTTATAAATACTTGACAAAAACTAATTTATTTCATTTATATGTTGTTGTTACGATTTATTTCTCTAATAAATTATAAAATAAAATAAATTTTAGTGGATTAAAAATTTTTGAGCCTAACATAGAAAGAATTTTTTTTCGATCATTCACTTTTATTTTTCGATATAATCTCAAAATGTTTAAACATCCTTGTACAGGATTATTTTTAAAATTGTCATTTATAAATAATAAACTTGTTTAATATAAGAATGTATTCTTACAAAATGAACGAAATCTCGATTTACTTTTTTGTGGTAAATGCGGTCCTGTTGATTATTTCCAAATAAAAAAAAGAAACAATATCATCCATAAACGATAAGAAATAATATAATAAGAAAACTGTGCGTTTGTTTGTGTAAGTTTTTCTTGCATGTTTCTTCGGTTTTACTTATAGTTAGTTATATTTCGTCACGAAAGTAAAAATATTAGGATATCTTCAATCTTTGTTGTTTTCGTGTCTTCTTCGTACTTGTCGACGTAAGGAACCCCATTGGGGGTTGGTACCCTCATCGTACGCTTTTAATGGTTTTCCAATTTCAAGAGTTTACGTGACTCTAACCACGTAAAATCAAATTCCAACATAATAGAGAAACTCACGATATTCCCATTAGTTTAGATCTTCTTTTAAGAATAATAATAATAATTGTCAAATAATATCTTCCTGTTCTAAAGATTCATTTTGAATATTTGACAATGAATAAGAACGATCACAAATGAAACTTTAATATCCTAATCTTTCATTCCATTTGAATTGAACGAGCGAAATAATGACTCGAGAACATTGACTTCCCCATCAAATGTTATCCCCATTGTTTGTCTGTGCGCACGTCGTTAACTCTTCTCAAGTTTCTAACGTACTCTTCTATATAATGATAACTAGCTAGAAGATAAGGAATGATCGTTTGTTCGGAAGTTACGATAACGTTTCTTTACGCACCTGCATTGTATCAAAGTTCTTGGCGTATTCTAATCCAGCGTTTCTCAACTTACCGAAAATCTAATATTTGGGTGTGTTTAATATTTTAATTGACTCAAAATAATATCTAATACTTTTTAAATCAAATCAAATTTTCATAAAAGTCTTGAACAATATACATGGATAAGTTGAGAAGTTTTGAGCTTTATGGTTTTCCACTCACCGTGTTGAGTTAAAAAATATTCAATCAACTCTCGTGTGTTGGACTCAAAACTTTTCAACCCACTGTTGCGTTTAGGCTCACAATTTCTTGGCTCACTCATCTACACTTACAAATTGATTGGACAGATTGAAAAATTATATGAATTATAACTAGGTTTCAAAATAAATACAAACAATTTAATCAAATGTTATATAATTTTATTATTCGTGACTATTTATATATAAAATAAAATGAAAATATGTTTCTCTTATTTGTAAATGTTGTTAAAGCTAGGACGTGAAAATAGGATGAAATACGATAATTTTTTTAAGAAAGGAAAAATAATAAATGAAAAAATACATGTACATACATCCACAATCACACTGACAATTATACAAGTTTAACTTTCCCCCCGTTTAAAACCGAAAGGGGCAAGAATAAACCAATAACTATTACTATAATTTATCCGATCCCTGTTTTAACATAGACTGACCATATACAAAAACTTTGTAACGAAGACCTCTCGAGTATTTAGATCGAAATTTAAGTTTGACAAAATTTTGATTCAAACCACCATCGATTATCCATGCAGCATCGTTGTCCTCATCGGACAATGAATCGATCACTATGCAAGTGATGATTGCCATTGTTGGTCCATATTCTGCTTCGACTTCCTACAAGTATAAGAAAGAGAAAGAGAGAGAGAAGAGTATGAAGGATCAAATAATCAAATATAAAATTCAACATAATTCATAAATTATTTATAGAACATAAAAACATATTGGAAGTATATATGTTCGGATGTATATATATATATATATATGCGTGCGATTGATAGATAAAAAATATATCTTTGAAGTATATTAGTGAAGCATTTATTTTTTAATGATTAGGAAATATTTAAATATAACAAATTAAAAAAAAAAAAAATACCTGATAAATACCACGAATATATGGTCTTCGTACATCGTATTCCCAGATGATTTCGTCGTTTGGTTGTCGTTGACATTCAGCGTACCGATATGCCTCACCAACGAAAACAGTAATAGGAAGTAATAAAAGAAGAAAAATGTATATTGAAGAGTTCATGCTCATTTTTTTATAATTCCCCACCCTACTACTCCTCCTTAATTAAAAATGATGGACGACTGAACTGTCTCTCTCTCTCTCTCTCTCTTTCTTTCTTTCTGTACTCTTTATCTTTCTTTCTCGTAATTATAATTATTATTAACGAAGATCGAGATAAAATCTATCGATGCGTAGTTGAAACTTTAAACGCGCGAATGAGTAAAAAACAGTATTAGTATATTCGTTATCGTTGCCGGTCTGCCACTCCGTGTAGCACTAACAACGAGAAAGTATTAATAGCTGACCATCGATACACCGAAAGAGTTCCCCCTTTCGACGTATATTTATTCTGTTTAAACTCTCTCGCAGCATGCACTTCGTTTTCTTCTAAAGTCAAGATTAAATACAATATAGATACTTTTATCTTATTTTAAGAATGCTTATACAGCTTTTTCTCGTATATACGTTGAATTTTTTAACTTACGATATCTTTCATAATTCTATTAATTATGCAATCATTCTTTCTCTCTCTCTCTCTCACACACACACACACACACACACACACACACACACATATCCTCATATACTTTCTTCGTAGGCAGAATTTATAAAAAGAAAAAAGAAAATACATTGATCATTTTCTATTAGGTCGTAATTTAAAAATTATCTAGAATTTTCTTCAAGTGAAATATATCTATAAAAATTTTTATAAGAAAAAGAAATTGATAAATAAATTAAAAAAAAAAAAAATTAAAAAGCCTTGATCTTTTTCTTCTTATATAATCTCATGTATATATTATGTATGTGAACCTTCGAAGATGCACTTTATCTATCTTAAAAAAAAAAAAAACAAGAAAAATTATATAACATTTTTATTATACTTTTGTAAACATATATTAATTATCGAATATTTTCTAATTTTATTTACCAAGTCGATAAATCTATCGATTAACGATTAGTAATATGATTTAGAAATAGAAAATAAAAAAGAGGGAGATGATTGTCGTACGAACGACTTAGAAGGTGTCTGCTACGGGAAATGAGAAACTACGAAGGTAGAAGTTTGTAATGGGCCTTAGGGATAAAGGGTTAAGTGGTCTTCGAACACGCATAGCAAGTTTACTCTCGCCAAATTTCAACTGCAATTTCGCGTTTCCTATCATTCTGTACAATATCGTTTCGTGAAAGTACACATACACATATGCCCACATATGTGCATACACTAAAGACCAAAAGTTTCAAATATTTTGTTGATTTCCATCAAAATCAAATATTAACAAATTTAATTACATTTAAAGAGATTTCAGCATATTTTTATATCCACAATGATTTTTGTTTAATTTATAAACTCAATGCTAATGAATTTACTTATTGGACGAAAAGTATGAAAATATATTCAATTAAAAACAATTCGAAAAACTAATCGGAATATGTCAGAATTAAGTTACTCAATTTGAAAAAAAAAAAGAACAAAACTCATTGGTTGATCAAAAAAAAAAAATAGTACAACATGTAAATTATACGTATATAAATTTTGGTTGACAAATAAATTGACCTCGTTTATTTCAAATGGATTCCAAACTTTTAGCTGATAGTGTATATACACACACACATACACATATACACATCCTTGCATAGATAGAAATGGGTAAATCCTTGGGTTGCATCTCGGTATGTGCAATTCGTATAATATTCAATTTCTACGAGTATAATAAAGGTGTAGTTCTACGAACTACGGTTTTAGAAGAAGACACTTGTTGATGGCTTACGACGACCAATGCGGTTGTGAATGTAAACGAAACGACCGCTTTTTCTCATCGTTTACCGTCCTTTTAAATTACGCACGAAACTGTTGGAACCTTAGAATGTGGGTAGAAGATATAAGGTAGAAAAGAATAATGCATTGAATCGTAAAGTGCATTTTTACTACTAGAAGGAGTTACTAGTGAGTGCTCGGGTAATCGGTAAGTGGTTGTCAGTGTTAGTTAGAGACCACTGGTATGTGAGTCAGATGGATCGGTTCCCACAATGTCGTGCCTGGAACCACGTGGCACGCATTACCCAAGAAAATGACTTTACTTCTATCTCTTCCTAGCTATACCATGTTAAGGACCTGTTAAATTCTTTTCTAGTCATTCTCATTCCAAGCATTACTATTGTACTCGTATATTCGACTAATATCGATTCATCATTGTTTTATAGTTACTTTCAAAAATCATTGTATTATTAATATTTATTTATTACTAGTATCTGTAATTATAAATATCATTAAATATTATTATTATTATTATTATTATTATAAATATTAGTCAATCAGTGAAGGTTTCTCTAATTGTAAGTAAAACGACGACAGAAACCACATGGATAATGATATTGGCCAACCTAATAGTATTTAATATAATTGGTTAATATTATATCAGATTAAATATAAAAATTGTTAATACTTTTAATTGAATTATTTGTAAATATGTATGATAATTAATTATATTTTTAATAGTCAGCATATTTAAATATCAGCTATTAGTAAACTGTTACAACTCTGACACGCTGTGACCCAATTTTGATAAATTGACAAAATATACATAAACCAACCATTTTATATTATGACATATTTACTATTAATTAATAATATTAATCATATATATATATAAAAGTATAAATTTATAAAACCATCAAAATAAACGAATTGTTCATTCTTTGCGATCTGTAATATTTCTTCTATGAAACGATTAAATAAGAAAAAAAATAACCATAAGCAAGTGTCAAACGTGAATGAATAATATAAAACGAACCAGTTTATCGCATGTCTATCCGTTCAAAAGGTGGAAAAAAAAGCAGGAAGACATATACATCGATTTATTTCTCTTCGCCGTCGCCAAGTAACTACATTTCAATATTATCGCATGATAAAACGGTGTTAGAGATTCAAGAATTTTTTTTTTTACTATAACCTCCTTAAATTCCCTTTTAAATTATTTCTAATATATATAGTATATATATTTTATTAATTTAATCATGAATTATTAACAAATTATAAATATATTCTACAGCCTAAATGTAATCGTTCGAAGATCTAAAAAAAAAAACAAAAAAACTAAAAATAAAACTAAATCACGTGTAAGAAGTATGATTATAAATAAAATCTAAAATTAGAAAAAAAAACTGTATAATTCTAATTATAATAATTTTATCATATTGTCAATAACGTTGAAAAAGATTAAAATCGATTGATTAAATATTAATTGAATATTAATTATCAGTTCAAATCAGACAAAAATCTCGTTATCTGTAGAAATGGATAACAAGAGAAAAGGATAAAAAGAGAAAGAGAGAAAAAAGGAAAGAGAAATAAAAGGAAAGAGAGTGAGAGAGAAAGAGAGGAATTGTTATGGGTGATAATACTGACATGGAACATCTTTCGAACTGTCGACCTCAGACTGTCAAAGTCCGTCAGCCAGGGTTGACCCCTGGGTCATTCTTCCATCCATAACAGGCATTATTTACAGCTTCACAAATATATTTAGATTAATCCACACCAAGTAACATCCAATAAATTGTTCATATATATGTATACGTGTTTTATACTTTAACACAAACAAGCTCGATAAAATAAAACAAGTATTATAATAATATGCAAATGTTAGATGTTTTAACGAATTTTCAATATTTCGATAAAAGTACCATACACTCGTTGATAAATAAATCATCACTTATATTAAAAGTCATTTCATTCAATTTATTTCATTTTGCATTTGAACGCATTGCTGTCCTTATATTATCAATTAATATATTAACGTGTATAATTTGAGTATATGTGCACGCGAACGCGTGTGCACGTTTATTTATTTATTATAATTAATACAATAATAAGATAGTATAATTAGACACGCTTCCTTTATTCGTATATTTTTTATAGATTTTATTTGTTCGACTATACAATAACGATATTATCATTATCATCATCATCATCATCATCATAATTATCATTGCGTGTTTACATAAGTATCTCATTAATTTGATGCTGCTTAAATATAAAATACTATAAATCAGAGGCAAAATGTTAACTTTAGGGGACCTGGACTAACACTGTGTGGGGGTCTACCCAATTATCCTACAAAATTAACCCAAATTTGGGTTAGTTGTTGGTGACTCCTTTGCCATTTTGTTGAAAAACAATATAATTTATTTTTTCAATAATTTTTAATTAAGATTCTTTTCTTTTTATATTGTTACCAATGTAAGGTTTGATCCCATGAAGACCATGCCTAAATCCGCCCCTGCTCTAAATGAGAATATATCGGTTTGAGTTATAAATAACTATGTACTCATCTCTGATTTGGTATGAACGAGTAAAAAAAAAATTAATGTTACTTCAGAATCGATAGGTTATACAACAACAACGAAATATATTTTAATTTCAAAATATCATAATTAGCAAAGATCATTTAAGAAAATAGTTCGTTTCAAAGGACACACGTCTAACATTTTTGTTTTAATTTCTATGATTATTCTAAATCCATTACTATGCTACTATTTACAAATATAAATGATAGAATATAATAAAAATAATATAATCATATTATAAAATTTTATTAAAGAAATCGTTCGTAGGAATGGGATATATTTTGAAATGTCCATTATATCCCTATATAAATTTTTTGGGATTGTTATCGTGTCAGTCTATGAAGATAGGAGCACAGTCATCGAAACGAAATCCTTATGTATGTGTGTATTCACGTCCTATATATATATATATATATATCAAAGACGATAGCACGTGATTCGTACGTGTATTACTTTTTTTTATCCATCTGCACTGTCATACGCACACTAAGACAATTTTAAGAACGTTCGCAAACGAAAGAAAGAAAAAAAAATAGAGAAAGAGTGTTCTTACAACGATTAAAGAAACGAACTTGACCCTTGAATCTGTTTTCAATTTACAGTTTCTGATTTCTCTGACATTGAACGATATCAAAAGAGAACAGATAGAAGAAAAAGAAAAAAAAAAGGAAAAAAAATCGAGTTAGAAATTAATAAAGAGTCAATCGATCCCGATCGAAACCGACAATCATTTTGTGATCACGAATGACTTCATTGTACTACAGCGAGAGGTGGATTGTGTCTAGCAGGTTGGGCCCTAATCGCACCTGCGACACGTCTGAAAGGTAATTGCAAATGATAGTAAGCACAATAAGGTAATGGGTCCCAATATACAAATAGCGTTTCCCTTTTATCGATAACAGTGCCCAAAAGACGAGGAGACGTTTCACCGATTGGGCGTTTGCTCGTACTAGTACTTCCGTCTGTTGTTTGTTCTTGTTGTCTATCAGTCCTGATAAGAAATGCCGAATTTTGTCTGGAGAAATGTCTGCAGGGTCGCCAGACCAAACGGGGATGTATACCGGTCTGACATACATAAGGAAGACTAATTCCAACTCGACAACCTATGCATACCATCGGTCCTTGGTTTTCACTGATGGCTAACCTGAAGCTCAGATGTCCATTGATCTTCGTTGCAAAAGAACGTGCAAAGAATCGGTCCAACCACAGAGTTACATCCGTACGATTCTCCGGTATGAGTCCTTGAGATTCCTCAACTCGACACGTTACGTTTGCTACGATTCGTGACTCCTTAACGGTGGTGCAGGTGATAAAGTGATCACCACCCGGATCGCGTATCACGACCCATGGTTTAGTTTCGCTAATCTCGTACTGTTGGTTCATGAATTCTCTGAACGTCGATGGTAGAATAATCTTTGCTCTGTCTCTCATGCCGGCTGGACCAGCCGCCAGCATCATGTATCTTCCCGTTCTGAAGGTATTGTCCTCATAAAGACGAGATACATCCTGAACAGATCGTAAAACGAAATGGTCTGGTGTTTGCATACCTAGGGAACGGCATCGTCGCAGGAGTTCCAACGGATCATCCAATGCCGTCACTTCACTCGCACTCGGCACGAAACATTCACATCCCATAATCTCCAAGTGCGGCTTCGCCAAGGCGTCGTAATAAGCGGTACTTGTGACGCTAACTGGTATATAATATACAGCTTTCTCTTTCTTAACAATATCCTGTAAAGCTTTAATATATTCAGCGGCACTACCTGGACTTGGTCGTGGCACGGTATAAAATTTCGAACATGCTGTTGAAAATCTAGTTAACCCAAAGAGTCCTTCCAATTCACACACGACTACTCTAGCACCAGCTTTGTAAAAATTACGTGCCAGATGTACGGATTGTACTGTGCTACCGCCACTAATCAGAACGCATCTCTTGTTTCGTGCTCTTTCCGAAGTTTTAGTATTTAGGATGGTTATGAACCATTTTAAGCTTATAAGTGGAAGCTGAATGATTATCCAAAACAAGTAAACTCCAGTGGATATCCAAATAATTGGTGTCCAAAATGCATAAATGATAATGTTGTATATATACTTCAAAAAATTTGGTAGCAATCCCAAATACCAATAAAAAATCCTTATGAGAAAAAAAGGCTTGCTGTTTGAATTATTGTTATTCACTTGTTGATGTTGCTGCTGCTGATGATGATGATAATGATGATAATGATGAAAGTGATGATTTCTCGAAGAAAGTATCGCCGTTCCTGAACTACTAGACCCTTGAGACAAAGTCGATGAGTTCGAAACGTTCGACACGTTTGACGTTGAACGCTTCAAGGTGGAAATCGGTGAGGATAAAGGTGGTGATGTTGATAACGGTGTACTGGGCAATAATGGTGATGCACTATTGCTTCTCGAAATCTGCGAATTCGAAGACCAATACTTCGACCAATTCTCATTTGAACATTCAGGCATGGTCGCTATCACTTTCTTCCCTTTTCCTAATATGTTATATATTTTATTTATTTATTTCTGTTATATATTTTAGGCCCGATAGCAAGCCTCCGAGTTCCGTTCGAAATCACATCAGAGGTCTGATTTGAGTTAAATATCAGAAAAGTAACGTTGAAACTTACACCATTTTTTTATTGTTGCTATGGTTTCTCCTATACTAAACTCTATAGAATCTTTCATAAATTCTTTCTCGTATATCTTCGTCAAATATTTTCAATATACCACAAAAATAATAATAGTTTCTTATTCTTATTTTCTTTTTTCGAAAACTTACAAACACGTTGTTGTTGAATGCTTGATCTGGTGAATATTCATTGAAATCTCACTTACTTTAAATGTAAGATTCTGTACGAAGCTTGTTACACAGCAGCACTGATTGTAAATGAACTTTGTTTTATTAACCGCACGAATAGGTTCATCTTATGCAATTCTCTTAAGAATTGGCTGTTTCCAGACAGAGTATTAACTGAACAATTCTCGAGATTCCCGGTCTCTTATGAAGTCTGCATCTTGGCCGCGCTATGAACCGCGCTTATCTAATCATAATGTTCCACTCGCTGCAACGAAAAGAAAGAACTAAGTCGATCGCCGTTTGCAAATCCAATTACTCTTACTTTTATTTCAAATAATAGGTTCCCATGAAAATTATTTTTCTCTACTTCTCATACTAACTCAAAATTATAGCTTCAATAGAATTAGGTTTTTTTTTTGAATACTTATGTAATTAATTCGTTAAATATTATATATTATAAATTAAATACCTATTTTTTTTGTTTTTTTAATATTGACAAATATTACATTAATTATTAAACAAATAATAATTCTATTATAATAGTACTTCGTGCTCATAATAAAATACTAAACATGTGTACTAAAAAAAAGATATTAATAATATTATATGAAAGTTTGAATTTAATTCAATTGTTTCTATATTATAAATATTTATCTATATTATATTCTTATTATATATATAATGTATAATTCTCAAGTATATTCTATTCTATAGATTAATTAAACATGTCCATATTCTATTAAAATACATTTCGATGTAAACATTTAAAAATAAAATTTAACTTTTAAATTTGATTGCATATACGTTCAATTTAAAATTATTATTAGTAAATTACATTTTTATAATTATATTATATTTATATTTTTATTTGTCGCGCCTGTTGATAGATTTCACTTCATACTTTAACAAAAATTATGCTTGCGAACGCCATCTATTGGAATGAAATTTTTGTTTCGATCTCACGAGAGCAAATTAAAATTTATACATGCATGTATGAATTTTTGCCTATCATAGGGGAAAAGATGTCTTACCGACAGAGAGTACAACTACTGTTACTGACAAAAGTTGTCTGTCGACATTTATACACATATTGCTAATAAATTAAATTTGTTATTTTTATTATGAGATAATTGTAATGAGTGTTGTATGAGTGTTGTAATGAGATTAGTAGGTGTTATCATGAAAAAATAAAATGTATTTACCTGCTGTGTCGGTAATGCTTGGTCAACATAGAAGTTGCTATCGGAGTATATGTTTCCTACGACTGTTACTAGATGGTGCATATAATTAAATACTTGTGGTATCTCTTCTTATTAATACCACGAGATAAAGATATACAAAATGGTTAACGTATAAAGAAAAACTTTATTAATAAAACTCTATCAAATATGTACAATGAGTAGTTGAGATAAGTTTGGGAACACGTGGTGAATGCGATGCGTTGTTGCGTTGTGTAGCGTGTAGCGTGTATATTACCATTAGCTATTGTTCTCTTTTGTTTTATGTGTTGTTAGTCTGTTTTATCCTCTGAGTGTAGTTGTATGAGTTATCTGTAGAGGCGTGACTGCAGATACGCGTCCGCTACATACTTGTGGTGGACTTGCAACACTTAAAGTAACGCCTGCATGGTGGCGCGTCAGGTCCATAGCAAGGTCTGCCAACTTAAGAAAAATACCATTGGCACGAGTGAAAAAAATCTACTTCACTTGTTTGCCAGATACTCGTTGCTAGGCTCCGTGGTCTGAGAACTTAACGTTTCCTCAGATTCAAATTTGACATCGAAAGCTGGATGCACGTACACCGACTTCAAATGACAAATTGTGATAATTAAAATAATATATTATAACATTATATTGTACATAATGATTTGTTTAAACAAGATTTTTTTTAGTTTATAATAATTTGTATTTTTTGTCAACGAAGTTTGTTGTATTGTTGTATTCATGCAACCAAAAAGTATCTGAGCAATTAACTTGAACGTCATAATTTTTTATTTGCATTTATTTTATTAAAACGTTAAATAATTTATTGACAAAAAATGCCACGCAATAAGACAAACGCAAACTCAGCTGATGAGAATAAAAGGTAAAATAAAGAAAATAAAAAAAATTTTAACAATCTTAAAAATTTAATTAAAAAAAAAAAAGCATTCTGCTGTAACGTTTGATGATTGCATGTCATTTTCAGGGAAAGAAAAGTATCTAAATCTATTCAGTGTGATATTCAAACCGATGAGATAACTCGTTTGCAAGAACAATTAAAATTATTACAATTAGAGAATGAAACTCTAAAAAAACGCGTTGACAATAATCCTGTGGCTTTTAAAAGCTTATCACCAAATATTAATGTCAGTGTCAGACGAAGTCCACGAAAAAACAAGAATTTGATAAAAACAGAATCTCAAATAATGAAAAATACAACGAATCAAAAAACTTGTTCTTGCAAAGGTAATTGTTCTAGCAAAGTATGCGGTTGTGTTAAGAATCAACGTAAATGTAGTCCAATTTGTAAATGTAACAATCAATCTTGTAAAAATCAGGTAAATTTATTTGTCATGTTTTTATCGATGCAGATATTACTGATACTAATTTTATTTTACTTTATTTACAAAAATAGCAATTAGAAAATAAGGAAAATATGGAAAGTGTGCAAAATAAGATAAGTGATGAAACAGTAAACTTAGAAAATGCATCTTCGAAAAATGAAACCACACATCAGCACTTATTCAGTCCTACAAATGGAACATTGCATGAAACCACAATTAACATTCAAATGGAAGGAATATCTTTTGATACTAAAAAGCAGTTAACTTATGATTCCGATGAAAATTCTAAGAAAAAGATTGTAAAAAAGAACTTAATCAAAGAGAAGAAAACTAAGCAACAAGATGAAGATGAAAACGATATTCCTAAGGTATACCAAATTGTATTCTAAGTAAATATAAAATAAATATATGTAGTATTAAAAATGAATGTAATTATAGGATAGATAATTATTAATGTATTCTTTAAAGGTGTATCCTATTTTTGATCCTATGAAACCTAATCGTCAATTGCCACGAACACCACCACGAGCCAGTATGGAAGATGAATGTTTAATGTGTCCTGAAAATAATGTTTCAACAGTCGCCGAAACATCTTCTGAGAAAGTCGAAAATATTTTACCAAAAGAAAATATTTTAGAAGGTAATATTAGCATTGTATATATTGTTTTAAATATATTTCCAAATCTAAGTGTCCTGTAACTGGGGTGACACACTTAAGCAAGCTATATATCATCATATTTAAATAATATTTATTTTTTATAGGATTGAATCAAGAAAATGTAGATTTGGATAAGCTGAGTATAGTATTATTTGAATGTAGTAAATGCAAACGAAAATTTTATCCATGGAGAGTAAAAGTACACGAAAGTGCCTGCCATAAGTTATAACAGACTATTAACTTTTGAGTTTTTACTACATTAACTTTTTTTTTTAATAAATGTATAATATTTTTAATGTATAATGTTTAATGTACATGTAATATGTAATGTGTAATATGTATAATGTTTTTAAATAAATCTATAATAAATATTTGTGATGTTAATTATTATAGTAATTATATAATAATTAATTTATTGATACTCAAGAAATAAAAATTGTAAAAAGAAAAAAATGAAACTAGACTAATTGTAAAAGTAGTTATCGGTAACTTATCGTTAACACACTCGCTATCAGTAGAATTTATTTTTCACGTTAATTCTTGTTGCAAATGTGTAAAGCTGACATCTAAATAATGTGTCGCATATCTACAACTGGTAGCGAATGAGTTAAGCTAATCAGGGAAAAGAATACTCTAAATCTTTGACCCATTCAATATAATTATACCGAACAAGTTCTACTATACAATATTATTTCAATGCCATCTAACAATATAATAATAGAGCTAAATATAAATATATCTATATATAAAAATATATATTTATATATATTTTATATATATATATATATTTATATATGTATGTATGTATATGTAATGTTTAATATGTATACATAATGATTTTTCTAAGCGCAGTTGAGATCTTATATACTCACACATACGCACATAATACACTTTTAAAAGCTCATATATCGCAATATTAAATATTACAATACTATCTAGGCTAATTTTTTAATTTCATTCATTATACTTACATCTGAAACTAATTTAAACATAAACATTATCTTTCTTTGGAATATGAAAGATAAATACAGCACAACAAAGAATAAGAGATTATAATTCTAAAAAACCTGAAGTGCTAATCAAAGAGCCCCTTTGGCCCAATTTGGAATTTACAGGAATTACGCCCGAAAGAAGAATCTATAATCAAAATCTTGATTTTTCCGGCTTCTCATTGCTGGTTGAGCGTGTCTATGCTGATCTAGAGACGCTCAATCCAAAACTTCGAAGAGAAACCCCATTCTGTATACTTATGCATGTCTGTACCAGAGTACTTAATGCTGCCATAATTGACATGGTTAAATGGTTATCAATTATGAAGATTGGTTTGCTGATGAGGAAAGTCTACTGAATTTAATTCCAGATGACTTTGGCATTCCAGCCCAGATAGCCTAATACATCAGGCATGTCATTACTACAACAACTTTTCAGGGTGGCGTTAAAGTTAAGCTTCTTGATGACGGAACATGGACCAATCCCTGGTGACGAGAACTACCCCGGAATACCATCAGGTAGTTTTGGAAAGATTACTGAACAAAATTATAATGCGTATGAGTACTATGTGTCATCATATAATCGAAAGGCTCACTGAAGGACTCTCACCGTTATTGAGTTTCTCAATTCAGAAACCATGGTCAGACACATATGCTGGTGCTCTGAATTAATGGTGAAAATTTAAGGACACGTAAAAGTTCTTGAAAGCAAATATAAAATGATGATAGGAAGACCTTCACATAGAACTAATTCCGCAGCAACTGGTTGAGTTAAAGTTGCTGTTACAGGACAAGATGTTTACGGTCATAACTGTGAACGATTAACATATATTAACCCTGGTATATATACTAGCTCTGAGATGTGTAATGCCCAATGCGTAATTCTTGGGATCTTGACTCTCAAAAAAAAGAGAGAGGAAACCCAAACTGCACGCAGACTATGCTACACACAGCTGAAGGAAATGCTCCAGCACGTTGGACCGGTAATATCAACCAAAATTTCTTAATACAGGAACCCTTTCTACCACTAATTAGGGTTGATAATCCTGCACTTAGAATTTTACATCACATGCAGGTACCCGTCAGTGGAGATAGAGGTTTGCTTGTAACAATTTGGACCAGGAGGAATATTATTAGGAAAACCTAATATAGCCTGGTTACATCCTAATTCTTAGTAAATACACTAGTTGATACTATACTTTGCCAGAGAAGACTCTGATGCCTGACATTTTCAGAAGGCCGTTAAGGTTATTTACTATTTTAATTATATACATTTTCGAATTTGACCATTCAATAGCATCATTTCTTACCAATTAGTCAAATATAGTAGAACAAACACTGATCGTACTACTAAACCTTTATGTTAACTGATATAGTTATTATTCATTTCGCTACTTACGAAAATATTAAAAAAATATAATTTGCTAATACAGTATTCTAATGAAATGATCTGTCAATGCAGTCACTGTTCTCTCACAAAATTGTACTGTTATTATAGTTACATATTCTGATGTTATTTAATAACTACTTCATGTGGACATATGAAGAGAGAGATTAAGAAAAAAGAAACAAAAGAAAAAAGAAAACTGAAATAAAATAATTTATTATACAAATGTAATATAATATAAATTTCTTTTGTCTTTTTTTTTTTTAATTCATGTAAATTAATTTAAATATAAGGAAAAATCGCTAAAATATCCATGTTTGTCCTAAATTACAAAGTATGCTCTTATAAACTAACATAAACTTAATATAATACGGTTCATGTATATGAGATAAATATTATGTTTTTTTTTCTCTTTCTTTCTTTTTTTATATTATATATCTGTTCTCATCTAATTATTATAGTTTTTAACAACAGCACAGCACAGAATGATTTCTAATTAGAAGAATAGAATGGTTTAAAATCGATACAGTAAAATGCATAATATAATTAATTACATTGAATATTCATTATTCTCTTATTGTAAATGTGATAAATATATATATATATATATGGTAAAGAACATGTGTTAATTTAAATATAATAAATAATACTGTTTGAAACTGTAAAGGAAAAAAAATAATCCGTTTAATAATAACAATAATAATAATATAATAATAATAATAATAATAATAATAATAATAATAATAATAATAATAATAATAATAATAATAATAATAATAATAAACTGAAAAGGCACTCAGAATGCCTATGACTAGAAATTGCACCCTCTAATATGTACATTACTTATTTTGCAAATAAATAATAATAAATGACATACATCGTGGAGCTTGTCTATTCAAATCTCGGTACGCAATGCGTATGTTTTAGTAGATAATGAAATTATTAAAAGATGTCTTTTCTGTTTCTTTTTTTAGTCTTTTCTTTTTTTATATTCGATTCGTGAAATATGAACTTTATATTTTTTTTACGAAGTGACATTTGGAAGTAGACTTTTTACTCGTAGATTTTACATTCAAAGTTACACCTCTAGAAATCCTTTCTTTATTTCTCTTTTTTTCGTTCTCTCTCTCTCTCTTTTTTTCGTTCTCTCTCTCTCTCTCTCTCTCTCTCTCTCTTTCTTTCTCTTTCTCTATATATATATAAATAGAAGTAAAAAAATAAAATTTACAGAAACCCACAATGTTTTTTCTGAAAATAGTCCTGTTACGACATTGACACTACTCGAATAGAATATGTGGTAACATATACACGTGTTCTGTCTGCATTTATGAATAATTCATATATATATACGCAATGCTCTTTTAAACCATCACATTTATACCACGCTACATTTTGTTTGACTTGTATTTAAAAAAAAAATAAAAAAACAAATAAAAAGAATTCATTTCCCTAATTTTGGAAATATTTGACTAGTAACGATAGTACTACAAAATATATGATACCAAAAGATTGAATTCCTTAAATTACATTCGCTCTGCTTACACGAATTATAGTGAGCATACATTTTTCATATTTTCATCTATAAAATTTGTGCCTTTAGAAAAATGGAAGTAGTATTTCAATAGAATACAAAAACATTGGTATTCATTATTTTGAATAATAAGACAAATTTTACAGTCATCCCAAGTATAATTTAAAGATTTGTAAAAGATTCCTTTTCTGGCTGCTCTTGTTTTTTCATTTTCTTTTTATATATATATCAAACTTTAAATATCTGCTTTGACCATCTCTTAAAATGCAGTATTTTTTCTTTTTTTTATATTCTTCAATATACATTAAAACAACACAATAAACGTAGTTAATTTTTTTTCTTTTACTAATAAAAATTTACCGATCCAATCCTTAACTAAAAGTTTCCATTCACATTTATTCCATTGCTTAGATTTACTAATACCAATTTTAAATTTTACAATTTTGCTTAACTAGTCTATCAATAAAAACACTTTATGCAGATAAGATATTGTCTATTGTAAAATTTAAAATCTATGTTGTCGTTTAAATAAAAGTCATAAGTGATACACATATTATTATAATATTTTGTTGCATGATTAATAAGAACTTGCTTTGCTTACTAACACATTTTTCTGCTACTTGTATAAACAACATTTGTATAAATAGCATTTTTTTTGCTATTAATATAACAAATTAATTGCGTAATTAATATCATATATATAAATTAAATATATATTTATATATTTATATATATTCATTTAAATACTGCCGTTCATTTTTCAAGCATATAAAAGCATATGATATATTGGAATGGTGAATAAATTCTTGCTGTTTTTTTCGTAAAAATTAATACTTTATTTAAAAAAAAAAATTAGTAAAAAACATGCCCCTGAAATTATTGTCCATTGCTAGTCGTTACTTTTTTTCATCTTTCTGGCAGCATTTGAGTTCCACGTCGGAAAAACGACACATTTTTAGAGGGTGGCTAAAAGTGGACCCATTTTTTGGCATCTTCGTAAGAATGGAAGTGTTGCTGAACTAGGCCATGTGCCATCGATCGGAACAAGTAATAATCGGAAGGAGTAATGTTTAGTGAATACGATGGATGGGGTAGAATTTCTCATTTAAACGTTTCCAAGTAGATTTTCACCGGTTGTGTAACATATGGCCAAACATTGTCATGTTACAGAATCACTTTGTCGTGTCTTTTTGCTCGTATTTTCTTCAATTTTAGATTCAAACGCATCTATTGTATGCTATAACAATCTCCCATCATGGTTTCGTTCGATTTCGGTAGCTCATAATAAACTACACTCAGCTAATTCCATTAAATGCAGAGCAGAAGCATGAAACCATGAATATTCGGTTTTGCTGACGATGTTAATGAATGACCGAGCTTATCTCACGATTTTCTACTCTTGAGATTATGGTAGTATTTCCACTTTTCATTGTCAGTCACGTTACGATGCAAAAAACCTTTCCTTTTCTACCGTTGAAGCAACTGTTCACACGTGAAAAGACGTCATTCGATGTCTCTCGGCTTCAACTAATCCTTACATATACTGGGGTATACTAGGGTATGCTGGGTATATAATAAAATATGTCAAAAATAATTCATTCAAATCTTTGATAACAGATTTTTTCAACGTAATAGTCTGAAGAAGTAAATAAAAAAATGCAGCATCAGTTTTAAAGTGGTGCTGCAAATAGTGACAATTAGTTTTCCAACGAGTGGTTCAAGTTAAGTTAGTGGAATGTATCTTCAAGTTGTGGTGGATATCTTATCTTCTTCCTGGAGCGGGACAGCAGATTCCAATGAAATGGATCTGAATTTCAAGCTTGCTTATATAGTACTTCTTTATAGATACATTACCATCTTAAACACACACAGTTCTGATAACTTCATATATTAGAAAACAGCGAGAACTTATCCAACGTCTCAATATTATGCGTTTTTTAGTATTTTTTTATACTAACATACTTAAATTGTAAATATAAGATAGAAAGATTTACAATACGGAAACATTACACAAGCAATGCTAGCGATTATTTTCTCAGTTCATTTTTGTAATTCATGAACGTATCGAAAATATATATATATATATTTTTTTTTAAACTCATACTCGTTTAAATATATTTCATTATAAAATATGAAGAACATTTAATATACATATTATATCAATGATGAAAAGATTACGAGGATAGTCTTAAGAGACTATAAAAATTCCTTCAATAAAAAATATGAAATACGTGTTATTTATGATAGAAAATTATGATCTTGTACAAAAAGTTTATGAAAATATTATAAATTAAATCGTACGTGAATTAAAATATTCGCATTTAGCAGTATGTGCTTTTAATAAGGGCTCTTTACACATTTAATCTACTTTTATACATATTTTAACACTTTAGGCAATAAACTCTGTACGCGTCTTCATTTTCATGTGTACTTACTATATACAAGTCGGTAAAAATTATTTCGTTTATATTTTAGTCAAAGTTATAAAATTTTCAATATCATTTATAAGGATGTTGAATAAGTTTCCGTTGTTTTCTAACAAATGACGTTACGAGAACTGCGTGAGTATAATTTAAGATGGTAATGCATCTATAAAAAAGTATTATTAGCAAATTTGAAATTTAGTTTAAGCCATTTCGCCAAAGTATACACAACTTATTTTTTCATAGTATTTAATATGTTGAATTTCTTGCTAAAAAAAAGAGTATTTGCGGGAAATTTCACTGTATTAAAAGTAATGCAGTAATATAAAATAATATAAAGATACAAAAAAAAAATCAGCAGCTGGGGCATACAGAATTTTTGTTGAGACTTACGGTGACCATGCTCTGTCGGTTTAGACGCTTCAGAAATAACAATTATGACGTTGAAAAATTCATGTCAAATGCAAGCTGAATTGCAGAATCATTAAAAATTGATCATACAACAATTTCGAAACGTTAGAAAAAATTAGGAATGATTCACAAGCAAGAACATTGGGTGCCGTACGAGTTGAAGCCAAGAGACGTTTAACGGCGTCTTTTCACGTATAAACAGCTGGTTCAACAGTAGAAAAAGAAAGGTTTTTTGCATTGTCTTGTGAATAGCGATAAAAAATCGATACACTACGATAACTCAAAGCTGAATATCCATGGTTCCAAACTGTACTCTAGCTCAGGTGAGTGTATAATTTCTTATAAGCTGTTCAAACCAAGCAAAATCATCATGGGAAATCACTATGGACTATAATAAATGCGTTTGAGTCCAGAATTAAAAGAATAACTGCTGTTATACGAGCAGAGACACGATAAAGTGATTTTGCAATATGGCAATGCTTGGCCCCATGTTAAACAACCGGTGAAAACCTACTTGGAAATGTTTAAATAGGAAGTCATACCCCATCTATCATATTCACCAGGCATTGCCCTTTCTAATTATCACTTTTTTTGATTAATGCCCTGGCTGAGCAACACTTCTATTCTTATGAAAATGCCAAAAAATGTGTTGATTCTTGGATACCCTCAAAAAACGTGTCGCTTTTCCAATGTGAAATTCAAATGCTACCAGAAAGATGGAAAAAAGTAGTGGCTAGCAATTAAAAATATTTTAAAAGACATGTCTTTTACTAATTTTTTAAAATAAAGCATTAATGTTCACGAAAAAATACTGAGAACTTATTCAACATCCTAATAATTAAGCTGATCCAGAAGATATTGTTATAATTAATTATTATTTTTAATCGTTATTATTATTAGTATTATTATATTAAGTATTATTCTCGACAGAAGATTGAGAATGTAATGACGAATAGCAACTTTGACAAACTCTAACAGGTTTTAAAATTCCAAGTCTTGAAATTTTAGATTCAAATCTGCTACATCTGTGTATGAAAATAACATTGTAGTAGATTATTATTACTTTTCTAGAGATTAGAAGAAAATATATTATTTTTAAATATTTATGTAAGTAACATCTACTTACCTAGAGCAGAAAACTAGACCACAATTCCGACAGTGATGTTTCCTTTCATAAAGATTAAATTTAACAGAACATCCGACACAAGTATCGGCTCCTTCATCTTTCAACCAATGATCTGCAACTGTACGACCTGGCTGTTCGCAAACACACCATGAAAATACTCTACCTCGTGTATCACCAACATACACTGTTTTATGATCTCTGTAAAAATAAAAGTACAAATAATATAATAAATTATATATACATAGTATTTATATAGTCAAAAATTCAGAAACAAATTTTATTTATTACCTCGATACTGCTAGTGCTGTAATAGAAGCTGGCTCAGCATTATCTTTACGATCGTAGGCAGTATGCATTGTCAATTTACTTCGAAAGACTAATTGCCTTTGCCATTTAAAACCATCTCTTAAAACATTTTGTAGATTGATCTTTTTAGGTTTTGTATCAGATTCATTAACCATTACAAAACTATCTGTTAAACTAGTATCACTTTTACTAGTTCTCAAAGCTCCTTCCGTATCTCCAGAGTTGTTGTGTAATTTACTTTATGAAATAAAATATAATATATAATTTTAACATATTTATATCTTTTATATTTTAAATTAACTAATTTTGTAAATTACCTTGTTTGTGTTCCTTCACTATCAGCGCGTCCTCCTCCTTCACTTTTTCTAAACATTGGATTTCCTCGACTCTTTCGTCTCAATATAACTGCAGAAGCATGATTACAATGTGATAAAGATTTGTTATTTGAACCATTACTTGATTCATTGTCCGAACATTCTTCTTTTTCCTCGTGAGCTCTAGAAGCTTCTTTGGTATTTTCTGGTTCAGAGAGGCTACTTTCTGATCCACTTTTCATTAACATTCCTTCATAAACAAAATAGTAATAAATTAAATATAAATAGCATTAAAGAGTTCAAATAAATATTAAAGTTTTGATAAACATGCATCATTTACCAGCTTCTTCGGTAGATATACTCATTTGTTTAACAAATTCATGAACTCGTTTCTTTGTACTTTCGCTTTGGTCTACTTGTACATTTGTGTCATCTTGTCCCTCTTTATTTGCATAAAATTCTTCCGATTGTTCTTCTTCAGCAGGCACTTGCACATAATCCATTGACCACATCTGCAAAATCATTTATATATTTATAATTATTATTTTTAAAATAATACTTGATTTTTCTATTTTTTTTTTTTTAATATATAAAATCACAACATACACGTGCAACTCCATCCGTAGATCCAGTCATTATTACATTTTGTGAATCCCATTCGTGCGTCTGACTGAATGCAACACACAAAATCTGTTGCATTCTATCAGCTCTTCCAACACATGTGTTCACACTTGCTAACTCTTCTCCATTTATACTCCAAACGTGTAGCCATGTAGCAGCACAAGTTGCTATATCGCCCTATTAAAAACGTATTTCATTAAAATTGTTCCTTTTTCAAACCAATATATATTAATGTAATAATAGTTTGTATCAAAATTACTGTTAACTCGTTGATAGCCACCGCAGCTACAGGACCTGCGTGTCCTCGAAGTTGGCGAACGAATAAACATCGGGACAAATCCCAAATAATTGCAGTACCATCTCTTGAACCTGATACAATAACGTTGTATGCCGTACTAGATGATAAACAAGTTACAGCATCTGTATGTCCATATAAACATTGTTTTATAGACAATTGACGTTTCGCATATTCCCATACAATCACAACCTATATTTAAATAATAATAATAATAATAATAAATATATTTAGTTTATGTTATTTCAAATTTTAACTACTATTTATTTATAGGACATTTATTATTAACTTACAGAACTTGTTCCTGCTGTTACTATTAATTTAGATGACGGACAAACGCAAGCTACAATTTCACCACTGCTTTGCATCATGGCTTCGCATACAAATATTGCCTTATCGCTGTCATAATTGCCTATCCTCAAAGAGTGGTCAGCAAAACCCCATGCGACGTATTTATTGTAAGATGGTGGAATAAGTGTTTTATTTTGTTCGACCGCTAACACAGCTTTATCGACGTGAAGTATTTGCCCAACAGGACCTTTCAACTCTAAAAATATATTAGATTAAAATAATTTAATAAAATAGAAATTAATATGAGTATATTTTGAATATGATTTAATAACGAACCTTTAATAGGTTGAAGCGATGGTTTCAAATTATCAAGATTATGAAAAAATAATTTATCAGATGTAGTAATACTTAAGCCTGGTGTAATAGGTCCAGGATCTATGACACTAATTCTTTGTGTCATCTTTTTAGCAGGATGTGGCTTCTTAAATAGCTGTTTCGGTATTTGACCAAAGTTATTTATAAAACCGATAGTGGCGTTTTTCTTTAAAGGGTCATCAATACTGAAAAATAACGTGTAATTGTAATCTCAACAAAATATACATTGTTGAGTACAATAATATGTAATAAATAAATTACATACTTGTAAATATCGACATTGCCTTCATAGAAAAGATGATGAAAAACATTGACAGCTTCAACAGCTGCAGGTCCATTTTGTTTACATCCAAATATCAAATCAATCCACTGATGAAGATGCTGCGAAACGTAATCACATTCTAATGCAAGTCTATGAACACGTATAAATTCTCGTGGATCTTGTTTAGCCCATGGTGGAAGCACAATATCTCCAAGTTGTACACCACTTTGTTTAGAACCTATAAAAAAATTTTACATTTAGTTTTAATGTATAAACTAATGCATTATGTTTCTTCCTAGAACAAATAACTGACTTACCTAGATCAAAATGGTTTGAATTGACAAGAAATTCTGGAAGATAAAAGAATTCTGGTATGAGTTCTTTTACATCAGCCATGTTATGTTTAGATGCAGACAGCCAAGCTTCTTTTACGCTATTAAACATTCTGTCTGCTAAATCGAAGTGGCCACCCTAAATCAAAACCTCGATGTATAATCATACATGTAATATTTTATCAAAAACTATCTTTATTATTTTTCGTCACGTACCTGTAGTCGTAAAAAGTGTTGTGTAAAAGGTTCCATTCTTACCAAGTAGGAACATACTATCATAGCTGAAGAATAATGAGTTCCGTAATGATAAGGTGGAGTTTCGCCATGTGGGTCATCCCATTCTTTATATCTGTGCAAATGAAAATTATTTAACTTTAAATCATTTCTTCTTATCGTCTTTTCTTCGTTTCAATAAAAAATAAAAAAATAATATCTTAACAGCATCATACCTTTTTTTAAATTGTAGTAATCGTTCAGGACTTTGTGCACCCATAGGTTTACTAAAATCTCTGAATGTTAATGAGTCTGTTAAATCTAACTCTTCGCTATCATAATCAGCTAAGATCCAAGGAAATATTGGATATTGCATAAGATCGTTGTAACTACGACCAGCTAAAGTATTAAGATGCATCAAATATTGGAAATTTGATATTTCTCCTCGCTAAATAAGAAGAAATTAATTTCAATAAAAATGTATTTAATATATTGAAATATTATGTTATGTTTTATGATACACACCACCCATCGTTGGGTAACTGATGTTTCTCCTATAAGATTAGATAATAAACCTGTGGCCTGTTCTACGTTTGCTGTTCTTTTCTGGCCAGCTACAGACTGTTGTGCGCTATCAGCGATAGCAGTCGCAAAAGTCATAAATCTTTGATATACTTTATTTCTCACTTTTCGTGGAAAAGCCAATAAATAATTCCTTCCGTCGCCGCTAAATACTTCTAATGCCATTGGTTGAAGTAAATATCTTCTCTTATGCACTTCTCTGTAAAAAAAAAAAAAAAAAATAAAGAAAGAAAGAAAGAAAGAAAAAAATCCATTATTAGTAGAATATTTATATCACATATTGTACATACCTTATATCTTCATAATTAAATTTCGAACATTGTCGCATTGCTCTAGATCTTCTAGGAGAGCCTGGTGAGGGTAAAATCGGTTCATAAGCTTCCGGTAAACTTTCGATATCTCTAATTTCTCTAGACTTCAAAAGGGTGAAGCCATCTATTACATAAAAGTGCTCTTTTCCAAATAATAGAAGTCCTTCTGTTGTATCTAAACCTTGAATCCTTGCGCACCTAAACATGTGACTGATCTGAAATTAAAATTAAAATTATAATCGTAAATAATATTATATTATATTAAAACAAAATAAAAATATAAATAATATTACTTTTTCATGTTCTTCTAATAATCTTAATAATGTTTGATTATCTGGAACCGTTTGATTATTCTCTTCTTCTTGTTCATTATCTTCTTGTACTTCATCTGGCTCACTTGCATGACGTTCTAACGTACATGGTACCATCGGTGGTTCGTTTTCCGTAGATGTTTCGTTAACATTTAATGGGGTATCGTCTATTACAGGATCGCGCTCTCGTTCAAACATACCAGATGAATTACCAAGTTGTTTTAAATAATACTCCTTGCTATCTGTGCTTGTTGCCACTTTGTACTTTAACTGTTTCTAATCGAAAAATATTTATTCGTTTAAATTAGATTTTCTTATTAAATTTGGATTTAATATCATATAATTATCGAGATACCACTTACATTATCTGGATGTTCTAGTTCAGGCCGATATGGATAATGAATATAAAAAAGATCGTTTTTCATCATTTTTTTACGCATCCTACAAGGCCCTTCAGTCATATCTAACATCCACTTGTCTAATTTAGTAGGAGTTGGTGGTCCCCATAAACCACGTTCTCTCGTTAATTCTGTTTCCGTTTGTAACCATTCCTTAAAATAAAATAATAGATAAAAAACATTTCAATTATATTTTTAAATATAATTGACACAGAAATTTAAAATTAAATTAATTACTTGATACACGTAGCGTTGTGTATGCTGATTGGTTTGTTGATGTTGTAATTTTTTTGCTGCAGCAAGTTCTCTAACTAATGCAATGTGTTGTTCTGTCCATTGGGCTACCGTATTCTGACGCAATTTAAGTTTAACACGCACAGATTCTTCTTTCCTAACTTTCGTTCGACTTGCTAATCTTGTTAAACCTCCTGTCACTTTTTGAATTTTCTATAATTCCAAACATGCAAACAAAATCTTTTTTTATTAGAGTATTATAATACTTAATATGATGTAATGTTACTATATATAAATAAATTAATCAATGCATACCGATTGTATTTGATTGTGAAGTTCCCAAGGTACTCTGTAAGAAGCTTTTCTTTCGAGAAGTACGTAGCTCGCCCAGAGTCTTGACGCAGCTTCATATACATGTTCTCTAACTACTGATAATTCTGGTGCACGTTCATTACCTACAGGTGGCGGAAGAGTTATTTTAAAAACTTCTTCTATAGCAGGTTTCTTGCATACATATAGCTCTTCCCAAACCCTGGTCGCTACTACAGACATTAAATTGCGACCCTGATGAGACGTTAATCTATCATCACTAGATTCAAGTTGTGGATTAACGTGCCACGTTGTTCTCATATTAGTATCTAACACAATTTTTATATCGGCTATTATTTGCAATAAACAGAAAGTGAGACAACCAATAAATTCTAACTCATGATTTCCAGCTCCAAATATCAATACTCTGTAAGAGTTTAATTATTATTGTATCAATAATTATTACAAATATATATATATATAATAAAGATAAATGAATAATCTTTTTTTATAATACCTGTGAGTAGTAAGTTTATGTAATGCTTCTACTATAGACATTTGATCGGTTATAGAATTGGTTGTTGTCCTTGATAATAAAAATAAAATTGTTCTATTCAGGCAGTGATGAAGACCTTCCATACTGACTGAGCCAGACCGTCTTTTAGCTTGTCCAATTAGTTTAACAATAAAATCAAATACTTCGTGTGGATCCCTCTTTAATACTTCTGCAATATAATATAAATATTATTTAATATGTTTTAGAAAAGAAATTAACTCTATTATATTAGTATGTCAAATATAGTCAGATGTTATTACCTTGCCATAATTTATCTACTATTCTAGCCACAACATAACAGACATTACTAGTAATATTATTGACAGAACCACCAGGTACAATAGGAAGTGCAGCTTGTTCGCCGATCAATACGTCCGCAGCTAAAAGATGTTCCATTAAAATAGATAAAACTTCTGTTTGGTAACACGTTTGTTGTCCCACTGATGCATGTTCTGGCCATGCCTCTAGAACAAGATCTATAGCTGGTGGAGATTTTGCTGTCACTGGTAGACAAAGAGAGTCTACGATGATGACTCTTAAAAAGTCCATTACAACTTTTTTTGCAGGATGATTTGTCAAACCGATATCTCTTGATGGAGATCTTACCAATACTGGTTGTTGCTAAAAATTAAAAAAAAAAAAGGTAAAAAAATGCTACAGATGTATTTTAGATTCAGAAAATAATTGAATTTGTTTACCTCATCCGCTGGTGTACTCGCGCCACTACTATCTTGACTAGAACTTGGAGGTTTTGGAAACAAGGTACTAGCTAATGCTCCCAAAACATCAGCAGACATAAATACTTGCATGAAGTCGGTAAAATTATGGTAGAGAAAAAATAGGAACTGTATTATTGTCACTGGATACTCGGTTAACCAAACAGGTAGTGATTCTGGACTACAAGAAGAAAATTAAAAAAAATAGTAAAATCTATGCAATATTATGGCCAGACAATATTAAATATTCATACTTATTTGAATGGTTGTTCAGCATAGTTCGCACCATGACTAATAATGTTACTACAGCTTCTGGACAAAGATTTATTCTGCTAGCTAAAGAAGATGGAGCATTATTTGGAGATACACCAAACATGAAATTCCATACATTATTTAAATCAAGTGTGGAGTCCATTGGTAATAATTTAATTGGTTGTCCCATCATGAGAGAAATGAAAAGAAAATAAAGTTCGGGAACTAGATCAATATGTTGTGGTAGTAACCATCCAAGATGTTGAAATCCTGGTACATGAAGACTTGAAGGCTTAACATCACCACCGGACATTTGTTGATGACATCCTGTGCAAATATATTAAATATTATTAATTTATTCAATTATTTTTCAATTATTCTACTGTCTTATACACACCAAGTGCTAGTGCCATTTTATTATGATCAGTATGACGTAGCCAACCACCATTACTAGTGCCTTCTTTGAATTTTTGTAGTATTGACTGTATTGAACACACAGCAACAAGTATACGCAATCCCCAAATAACAGTAGTACTATGAAGACTAGGTTGAAGAAATAATAATATCCAATCTAGGCCTAACACTTTGGCTAACTCTTCACACATACTGTAAGATATTTGTTACTTACAGATACCAAATATTATCAACATTTATAAACAAAATATTAAATATAAAATTAAAATACATAATATTTATTCTTACTTTATATTCACTTTGGCACCAGTAAATAAGAGAGAGTGTAAAAGTTGTAAGCAACGATTTCGTAAAAGTATACATTCACCCTCTCCCTCTTTATTTCCTTCACTTTCTCGAAGAATTAAATGCTTTTCGGGACTTAATGGTAAAGTAGCTACAATGTATTGACCAAACCTGAAAATAAATGAAAAACAGGAAAAATTAATTATTTATGTTACGTTCAAATGTAATTCGAATAAATATTCGTTAATAGTTTTTTACCAGAGTAAATCAGCCTGTCTTGGCTGACTTAACAATATACTAAGTAAAGCCAGTAAAACCTGTCGTGTGGTGTTTTGTTTAACATCACTAAGAATATGTAACAATTTATGTACCAATTGCAAATCTCTCATTAATCGTAAATTTGTACGTTTCTCGCTAGATTCTGCTATTAACTCATATAAGTGTTCTAAAAGAGATCTTAATAATTCTCCAGGTGCTTCATGCCAAACCTTTAGAAAAGGTGTATATAAGGTATGAAGTATCTTTCTATTAAACGTATATACATACAACCAATCATTCATTACTCATTAATTTTACCTGTAGATCACATAAAAGATCTTGAAATGCTGTAACATTAGGAATTGCACTGGTTTCTCTACCGCTGTCAACTGTACCAACAAGACTAAATGTCAGATGTAATATATGACTATTCAAAAGAGGACATTTTCTTCTTAATAACATGGCTAATGTTTGATATCCTCTACGACGATCCATTTCTTGTTGCGCAGCCTGATTTGATCTGACAACACACACTAATGCTTTAACTGCTGCGTAGAGAGATTCTACATCTTGTGCCATAGCAATTAGACCTGATTAAAGAGTACATACAGTATATTATAAAGATTATATAAAAACGATTTAAAGTCTATCAAATATAGTAATATTTCTTACCTAATAAAACTGAACATCCTCCGACATTATCAATCGTAGTTGCTACAGGACGAGGATTAAAAACTCGCACTCCTAAGTAACCAACGACTACACCGCCTAAGGCTCGTGCTGGTCCACTAAGATGACCTGCAGAATTGTGAAGTACTCTAATCGGCGTGGCATTTTCATGAGATGACATACCAAGCTAAAAATTATCAATATATGATAGTATTACTTTACATTTCATCTCTCTCATATTATATTATTATTATATTATTATTTTCAAGAAAATTAGCCAACGATATGAAGATAAACGATATGCGAACAACTCTGATACGTATAATAAGAATATGATTCTTATTATTATATTATATATGATAATAATGTATACAAGTACTGTTAGAGTTCTGAGAATAAATATAATAAGAACGTGATAAAAATATATGTGTTTGTATGATGTGTATGTATGAATGAACGGGTACAGGATAAAAAAATTCTTTGCTATAACAAATAAAAGAGATTAAATAGAGCTGATAAAAGAATAGAATACAAAATTTGGATTTCCAACTAAATTATTTTACTTTTTTACTCAAAACTTTAAAATCTATTCTTGCCTTCTTATCGATTGGTATTTATTGACTCTCAGTAAAAGTATATATTTCGATCAAACAGATGTTTCAAACAATTAATAAAATGTAATAATAGGTACCTGTTTGGCAATGGACTTATTATCAGCTTTGCTGTAGACTTTCCTAATTTTAGCCAATGTCAGCTGAGACATTGCTTTTGCATTTAATCCAAAGACCAGTTTTTCTTCAACTACGAGAGCTGACAAAGGTTCTGGACCTTTAAAAGAAAAAAAACTATTAATATAATTTAATAAAAATATTTTGTACTCATTAATTATATGTTAAACCCATAATAGTACCTGATAACTGTGGAGCTTGTAAACTTCCCATATAATGTGGACCTAATCTGAACAAAGCTGCAATGTTTTGAGAATTGAATACTTCTTCGACTAAATGACACGGCCCTTGTTTCCAAGTAAGCCTGGAATATCGTCTCCAACAAGGTGGTGTACCAATGTATCCATAAACTGGTGAAGCAACTGTTAAATTAGCTGCTCCACCACCCGGAACTTGAGTAATGTAATGAAGCTATAGGAAAAAAATTATTTTTGACAAAACTATCAATAAAGTAACTTTATTAATCTTACCTTTTGACTATGAATGTGCTGCCCGTCTAAATATAACGAAAAACTTGAATTTTTTAAAACAGCACGATTTAATACAATTGCTATATGATGCCATTGTCCTTCATGTAATAAATCAGGACACCAAACTCTAGCTCCACACTCCCCTGTACCTTCGGGTTCCCATTCTCCAACATCTAAGACAATTTTCACCGTTTTAGCTCTTCCAATAAATATTTTAATATTAATATAAAGATAAACTATAAATTTTATAGTTTAAAAGAAAAAATTAGTAAAAGGAAGTCTTACTCTGAGGCATAGCTGTTTCTTGTGTAGAAACAATTATAGCCTTATCTCTAGCACTGAGAACAGCAATCAAACAAATTAAATCTCTTGAAGATTGAGGAGTACGTACTAATGTTAATAATCTTACACAATGAGGATCTGTTCTAGGATCACTAAATTTATCAATACATATCCATGTACTAAAAGTTAAACCAGTTTGTGGTGGAAATAATCTATCACCTAAAAAATTATCTTTTATTAACCATAATTGATTAAAAAAAAATCTAAAAATAAAATTTATTTTTTTGCCCTCTTAATATCTACCAGAACCAATTCCTCCAAGCACACTGTTATCAGCGGTTACTACTGTAGGTGGAGTAGTACTCTGAGGTGCAATACTTGGTAAATACAAACAGGCAAATCCTTCTGAACTCATGTCTAATTCAACAAACGGTGGTAAAGTACAGGAACCATGAGCTCGGAAATCTTTAGGAGTCGTCATGGATACCAAAGTTTTAATACGTGTTAGAGGCACTGGTCCTCCTCTTGGTTTGTTCGGTTCAATATCATCAAGAGAAATACAACATAAAGGATCTCCTAAACGTAAAAATTCTCTACAAATAATAAGACAAAAAAAATATCGTAAGTTTAATTTAAAATAAATAATTAATTGTAAAAATATTAAATTAAATAATATTTTATATAGGTTTTTACCTTAAATCTCGAGGTTCCAGAGATTGAGCAGCAAGTCTCTCTATTATATATTGTAGTGGCTGATGTAAAGGATGTATTTCATCTTGCAGAGCAATTCTACCCATAGATAGCAATTCTCCAGCCATACCAGATTCGCACATCACTTGTTGATTTCTTTCGGAACGTACTAAACTTTTAATAATTTCTGCTATGTATAATTGTAGAGCCAATGCAAGTTGTGAATTTGAATGATCGTATATCGATGGAAGCAAATGAAGCATTCCAACTACAATGCCAGGGTGAACTACAATAGGCTCAGGAGTAGGAGGACTTAGATTTAAAGAATTTATGGCACATCTTTTTCCACTTCCAGGAGAGTCAAAAGATTTTTGTTGCTGAAAAATAAAGAATATACAAAAATATTAAATATCTGTTACATTCGTTATCTATATTAAAAACTTACTTCTAAACTAGCTTGTTTATGACTCGGTGATCTCATAGAAATGCCTGCCATATTAGGTTTATCAAAAGCATCAAGTGCAACATCGTATAGAAGTCTCAATAGCAAACATGCATATGCTAATGTTCTTGACATGTTATCCGGAAATACTGGCTCTAATACATTTCCAGTGAAAAGAGTCGATAACATGTTGTGATAATTCATTGTAGGTATTATATTCATTTCAGCCAGTTTAATTTGTGTTGAAAAACATCCAAGAAGTCGCAATGTATCACACAGACTTGATTGGCATATCTAAAAAACAAAAAACAAAACAGAATTTAATAAATATTACAATAAAACTAGTAATTTCTGTTATTCAAAAATATTAATTTCATATAACAATTATACCTCGTGATGAAAAAATTTCGCATTTGCAGGTTCAAAACGCATTGCTGTACTTATTGTATGGAATACCACGTGTAGTAATGTTAATAATTGTATTTCATCTTGCGGAGTTCTTAGCACAACATCATTACAAGGCTCAGGATTGTTTTGTATTTGTTGTCCAAGTTGACCCTCTAGAGAAACAAGTACTGACATAACGTAGACAAATCCACTAACTTTACGGAATACTGTTCTTGTACGATGAGATTCTCGTAGGCACGCTAGTAATGACTAATATAAAATAAACGTGTTTTATAATTTACACATATATTTTTTGAATACAAGATATATGATAGAAATTAAGTAATTACTAACTTTCAATATATGTGTTTTTAAGACCAAAGCATTTGGGGGTGCAGAATGCATAAGTCTTAGTAAAGTTGCCATATCATCGTCACCACCAGCACTAAGTATTAATTCTCTTACTATTCCAAGGGCAGCGTAACGACAATCTGTATATAGTACAAGATTATGGGCACAGCGTGCCCCACCACATTCTCTGAAAACATTTGCATTCTGTACATTTCCAGCTAACAAAGTAGTCAAAGCTTCCATAACTAAGGCACCCAAACGTTCATCTTCTGGGCTTATATTATATTCTGTAAACAAATTTTCAAATATATCAAATTAAGACAACTTCTAAGTGAATATATTATTTACAACAATTGGATTACTATCTTAATTAAAATATCAAAATAGGTAATCAACTAATTCGTAATAAAAACAATTACCTAGTCCTTGGTCCTGAGCAGCCTGTTTGTCTTTAAGTAATGTGGCATAACGACGAAGACAAGTAACAAATACTTCCAACATACCTACTTCTCTATATACATCCTTAAAAATTGTATTGTGTCTAAAATATAATTTTTGAGAAAAATTATGTATGCATATAAATAAAATTTAAATTTTAAAATACTTAAAGATAAAAATAAAAAGAAATTAATTAATTAAAAATATTTTCTATACTACCTAAGTATATTCAGGAGCGTTTCCATACACATGATACTACAAGTAACAGAATTATTTGCCGTGAGTAATATAGATAAGGATATAAGTTCTTTACAAGGCACAAAATTAAGTTGAAATACTATGAATTCCAACAGCTGAAAAAACTTCGTTTGTATTTTTACATTTTTCAAATGAATCTTTTCTGCAAATTGTGACAAAGTGTTCTGTCCTTCCAATATAAAATAATTAGCATTATCGCTGTGATAAACACTAGAAATAGCATCGAGAATAGTACAGCAGAGAAGTGACGAATTAGACTTGACAAATACAGATTGTAATACTTGAAATGCTTGAATATTTCGAACACTTCCTCCTAAAGTAAAAACAATATATAACGTAAAGACAAAACTGAACATATGAAGAAAAACATTTTCATGGTCTTATATTACCTCTGTTACTTGGTTGAGGTAAGGTAAATCCAAGCATTTGAAATAACGAACCCATACTGGCTTGACTTGGTTTTAATTCGGTATGTCCACACATTGTCAAAGATGTCAACATCAATACTAAATTTCGAATAGCATCTTTTGCTTCTGCTCTATTATCTTGTTCTAATCTCAAAGGAGCATGTCTGTAATAAGATAAAAAAAACATAAGTTTTAAAAACACAAACATAATTATTTAACTGTTATGCTTACTTTAACAAAAAGTCTGATAAAAAAATGTATCCCTGGCAAGTGCGAAAATCATCTAAAAGTGTTTGCGATACTTCACTAGAATCTTTTAAGAAACAAAATACTGTAACAAACATTTCTACAACTTCCAGTAGTGCAAGCTCAGGCACACGTTGCATATTTTCAATACACGATGATATACATCCTTTATCTGTAAAGAAAATTTTAAAAACAATTTATGTATATATATAAAGACTACTGAATAATCAGCAAAGTATCTATAACATTACAAAACTTACTATGTATATAGGTTACTACATTTTGCGTAAGACCATGTCGGGATAATGTCATTAAAACCTCAGCAGCACTTTTACGCCACATAACATTATATTGAGGACACCAACTTGTGATTGCTAAGAATAACAACGTCAAATCATCTTTACGAGCAAGTTCTTCCGCAGGAAATGGATGGCTGCATAAACGCACTAGTAACTAGATATAAGTAATAATATTAAAGTATTTAATCTTGTGATAATAAAATAATCAAAATAATATTTCTTATAATGTTATTACCTGAACAAATATTTTTTGCAATAATATTCTACGTTCTCTAGGTGTAAAGTCACTGTTTATGTCATTAATGTCAGCTTCCTCTTCGTTCATCTCAGGTAAGTCAAGAAACAGATATAAACATTTAACCAATGTCGATGGAACAGATGCAGCAGTCATTGCCTGTATTAAAGATGTATCTCCTGCTGCGAGTAAATTTAATGCCGATAATAACATCCAACCATTACTCGATTCTTCGCTATTTTCTATCTCTAAGAACTTAACAATAGCACAACTCGCAGTTTCAATACTTTGGTTACTCGCTCTTCTTCTTATCTCAGTTACCATTAATCGTGAAACTTGTTGTGTAAATGCTAAAATATCCCAAAATTTTTCATTCATATCTCCAGAAGGACTAGAGCCAAATACCTAATGAAAATAAACAAAACATTTAACTCCATAATCAATTTGATTGCTTTGAAATATATAAATTTAAATTTAAATTTAAAAATGATATACCTTGCAAAATAATGGTAACATACTATACAATTTATCATCACGTTCAGCATCAGAAAGAGGATGCGGAGGATGGCTATATTCAGAAAAGAGTTTTTTCAGGTGCATAAGACCCAAAGTAGTGTGTTGGGGATTAGCATTGTTTGTAGATTCATCTAAACTACCCATACTGCTGGTACTCATACCTCCGACACTTGTGCCCCCTCTTAATTTGCGCATTATGTTCATACTTAAAAATTACTGAAATTGTACACAAAAAGTCTATTATTATATATATATATATCAAAATGCTAATCTGTTTTTTTTCTAACAATTGATTCATATCAATTATTCACAAAAACAAAATACTATACAAAGATATTATTAATTCTCTTAAACATATTTCACAAGAACAACAAATTATTTGATCAAATATCAAATTACATAATTAAATTGCAATGTTGAATGATATTTATGATGAATGATAAGTAATCGTGATTAAATATTATGATCGTTAAACAGAAGATTAAAAATGTACGTATCTATCAAAAAATCATTATACTAACGTTATTAAATGTTAACAGTTTTCGTCGTAGATAATACATGGAGATTTAGTATATTGAGAAGAAATACATGGCGGCACCATTTTCTTGATCAACGATTTTACTGATCATATTCTCACAATGATATTAGAAATATTTTTAAATCCTTATTTAATGACACATTTGATTAGCCTGTTATTTGGCTCAATATTTACGTCTGTTCACTTATCAAAATGTCAAGCTATAAGCTGTCAAAGCAAACTACTCCGAAACCGCCCATAATTACGATTACGAACACTCGTAGAACTACGTTTATTTATTAAACGTTCGAAACAATAAACTAGTCGATATTACCTCAAATTAATTCCAGATTGAATAACTCTACATTTTATTTTCTAATGTCACTTTTTCCTCTGATATATTTAATATTTCAGTAGCAGTAGCCATTTTCATATTCGTCTTTCCTTTAGCCCACAACCGATACGATACGTCGATAAATGTCACGTGATCTCCGCCGATAGCAGCTCTAGCACAACCATTGCGGTCAACATTTGATATTATTCAAATGTCACATTTTTTCCCAACTTTTTTTAACAATAATCCTATATCTTATAATTAACAAAATAAAAATAATATTTACTTCAATTATCGATTATTACAAATTTAATAATTGTTAAGACTAAAATAGAACTTTGTTGAGCTCTTAACAAAATTATTTTCAATAAAAAATTCAATCTATTATTTGTGTTTTTTAAATCAGTAAATGAGTTTTTAGAGATAATCTATAAATTTGCGATTTTAAAACTTGCGCACTGATACTATATATTCGAAGTTATATTTATAAATTACTTTTATTAATTTTTATTAATCAAAGGAATTCCCGGCTACTCTTGTCAATTTAATGCTTCTATACTTCCCAATGAATTTGTTAAATACCCAAGGTTATGATAATTAAATCTTTTGATTAATTTAAAAATGTTTTTTTTTCTTTTTACTTTTAAAGTTTCTATAAATGTAACTTATTGTTAAAAAAAAAGAGAGAGAAACTTTCATCTTTTTTAATAGGGATAAAATAACCACAATCAATCATCTATACAAACATTCTAAAGTCGCATATGTGCCTTAAAATTACCATTAAACTTGAATTGGAAGACGGCACTAAGGGAATTTGCAAGGTTGCTTTCTACCGCACCTACCAATAGAGTCGATTATCTATCACTGGACTAGTTCAATATTTCTTAGATTTTTTCCCCTATAGAAAATTTATAGGAAATCTCTTTATATATTTAGTAATATTAATTCAAAAAAATGAATGAAAATAATAAGGTTTTATTTTTATGATTTATCATTCACTTGGGTGATCAGATTATTTAAATATTTTTATAATATATCAGGGCTTTTCAAACTTTTTCACTTGGAAACCCCTTTTACCAGAGCAAATATTTTCCGATTCAAGATACAGATTCTATATTATCTTCTTTTACACTATCATAAATTCATAGACATACCATATGTATAGTATTGTCAAATTGATTTTGAATTAATTTTCGGTCGTTATGTATCCAGAAAATATTTAGTTTTGTTAAAATTTCTATGATCCCATATGGGGTCGCTAGTCACACTTTGATAAGCCCTATAATATATAATAATTATATATCATATATGTAATTATGAAATGTATATGCAAACTTAGAAAATGTAGAAAACAATAACAAAATTATAAATATATATGTATGAATGTATACAAAATATTTATAATAGAAAATATTTTATTTAGTTAAACATTCTTATTTATGAAAGTCACTAAGAACAAAATGTAAGATTTTATATTTTATAATTTAACTTCTTCAGTATTTTGTTAAATTAGATGAAAAGTATTTCAGAAATTTCTATGTTTTTCTCTCATTCATTGTTTTTCTTTCATTTACATCACCACTATCTTTTTATTCATCGTGGCTATGTTTATAGTTATTTATCTGTAGTATACAATCGTTTGTACAATCTCATTGGTACTTTTTTCAACAATTTCCCGCTTGACATTTCTTTTGTACCTTTATCACGTTTTTATAGTTAAGATATAATATTATTTTCTTTACAGTTTTCTTTTTTTATGAAATTCACAAATTTGACTACTTCAATGTATACAGTCCTTCTTCTGAATTATAATAATTTTTATATTTAAATATTACGTCAAAGCAGATGTAGATCCTGTTTTCGTTTTACTGTATAAATAATCGTAAAAATCTTGATGACATGTCCTTGATTCACCGTATTGTGATAATAAAGAAAATAGATGTGCTATAAAATAATTTTCATTAAATTGTATATAATAATTTTCTATAATATTGTATATTCTATTAAAAAATATAAATAAAATTATACCTATACTTATATTCTGTTTTACTAAATGCAAGTGCATTGCTGCTATTTCATCTCGTAAAATTGGATCTCCAAAAGTAAAATATACCATAGTTCGACCAGCTACTGAAGCTGCCATTAATTGCAATAATACTTTTAGTTTGGGATTCCCTCGGAAAGCACCACAACCCCAATTTCCAGTTGCTACTCCAGGTAAATTATCTTTGTACAAATCGCAACCAACAAATCCCACATATGCCTGGATATAAATAGAAAGATTAAATCATAACAATAAAAAAAATTCATATTTTTTGTATAAAAATAAATATTTTATAACCTTATTAAGTTCTCGTATTATTTTGTTTAAATTAAATTGCAATGCTGTTTGACTAAAACGTAGTGCATCAATAGCAACGATAGTTGTTTTGCGCCTTCCACTACTATCTCGAGGTGTTTCATCAATAAAGTCACCAGTCCACTTGAAACTGTTACTGTATCCTTCGTATTTGCTGTATCTTTCAATACCACTAACAACAAGAGCTTCCGTGTCATCTAAAGCTTCTGTAACCAACATGGTTACCATAAGTTCAGGACAAATAACAAAGCGTATTTCTTCTTGTACGCAACCCATTGTAAGTACACCTCCACCTACATATCTATTATAAATGATATTATATTTCATTAAAATAAAAAATTAAATTAAACTTATTAGTTGAATAAATACAATACCTATTAGCGAAATCGACTTGAAGAAGACCAGCTCCATCATTATCTATTGTTCCACTACTAGTAATATGTAACGGTAAAACTTTTTTCTCAATATTATCCCATTTTGGAAAATCGTGTTTTGGAATATAACGTCGTTGAATCGTTATTACTCCTTCCGGAACTAATTTATCAAAAAATAATGGAGTCTAAGTTCCAAAAGATTTTTCTTTAATTAGTTTTTTTTGTATAACGCAGATATCAACAATTGCACTCACCTTTGCTTGTTACTCTTCTAAAATAATGAAAGATGCATTTAAATTTTTCCATTACTGCCTCACGTCGATTAGGCTTATCTTTTCTAATTGCTGAGAAAAGTCTACAATTAAAATCCTTTCATTAAAAAAGCAAAATATTAATTTACACGTCGTAATACACATTATTACACACTATTATAAAGAAAAGTATTTTATTATTATTATTATCATTATACCTATTAAAATTGATGTGAGGATAATTTGAGTATTCGGACGTAGGACTAGAAGAATTGCGTCTCGGAAATGTACAAAAAAATGCATTCGCTAATAAACATGAAACTTGTTGTTGACTAAGACTGATAGTTTTATTCGAATGAGATTTCAGGAGAGGTATTGCATCTGTTACTAATCTAGGAAGTTGCAAGGCAAGATCCACCATTTTAGGAAATAATGTTTTAAAAAATGCAGTAACTTCTTCTTCTTCTAAAGTCTTTGTCAAAAAAAAGAAAAGATAAATTTAATAAATATAAAGATTTTTACTACATACTAATTTTAATTATTAAAAATTACCTCTAAGAAAAAATGATGTAACGCTAAGAAATTCCATTTGTTTGTATACAGATGATTATACGATAAAATAGCTTTTTCTAATTGATGGCTAGACATAATAGTTTGTAGTAAGGATTCTTGAATTATTTCCCACCGATATCGGCAATGGCGATTGTCTCCTTGCTAAACAATAATTTATTAATATAGATTTTTCTCTTTCTTTTATTTTATAATTGTTATTTTGTTGTATAGAAAATACCTGTTCATTAGGATAAAGGCTATAAATGGAGTACGGCATATGTACATAACCTTGGCTCCATTTATTAGTTAAATAAGAAGGATATGGTTCTGGTGGTCCCCGTGCAGGTAATGGTAACTATTTTAAGCATTTAAAATATTATTTAAAAGCATTATTTTAGTAATCAAAACCATACGTTGTATGAACAAATAATAAATTACATAGTCAATATTATTACTTTTATTAATACTGTATGATTTGCGGAAGGCTTAATTGGTGGAAATTCTTGACAGTCGTAAGTACCTAAGCCCTTATAAATTTCATTCATACTAACTCCTTTCCACTCAGGAACGTTATTTTTTATAGGTTCTGATTCAATAACACTAATAGATGTTGAGCTCGCTTTAAAAAGTAATATAAGGAAAAAGCAATTTAGTAGATCGTACTAACTTATGTGCGTTAAGTTTGAAAATTATTTAATATAAACTTACATTTATTTGAACTAAGTTGAGAATTCCCACTTATGGGAATATTATCATCAGAAAAAAACTCTGACAGAAATATCTCATCATCTATAGGAAAATCTATTTCTGACATTTTTTCTTTCTAAAAAGATAAAAAACAGATTGATTAATTATTATTAATAAATAATAATAAAGATAAAAAAATCATATTTTAATATACAGATATAATTTAATTTAGAACATTGACATTTTATTTCTAATAACATACTTACGTGTTTGATGACATAAAAACATGTAATATTATGACTTATGAGTAATCAAACTTAGAATGTAAATAAAACAACGTTGGTTATATATAATTGTAGTATTAAATTATTTAAATAAAGCTTATAAAAATACACACATATAAATGATCTAATAATTGATAATTATTTAATATTATTTTTGTTTTCAAGTAACCAGTTCACTCCAGAATCGTCAAAGAAAACTAAATGACTGTGTAAATCATTTCTATATATGTAGTCTTTCAACACTAACTTCAGACAGCATTCACTCTTGTATGTATATATGTGTATATACATGGCTTCTTACGGTTGAGTGAATCGTCGTACATTTTTTTCAATAACTAGCGAATTAATAATTTTTGGATATTTTACTATAAACTTTTTTATTTAAAATAACACAAGAGAGGAGAAAGTGAAAATAATTGCAGAGCTCCATTTTAAAAATATACCATAACCTTAAACCTTCGTAAGAAATAACCTTGATAAGTATTTATATACTTACATACTAATCCCTAAAAATGATGGAAATCGGTGAAAGGAAATAAGTAAACTTTTTTATATGAAGTTTTCATTTCTTAAATTATTATTGTTATTATATTTTTTAACGATTTTTTACCTTATATCAACACTATAAATAACACACTAATAAAAACAATAGAACGAATTACTTCTTATGATAAAAAATATGTCTATCTTGTAAATAAAAAAGGATCAATAAAATCAAATACACGTAAAATTTGTATGAATATTATTTATGCTATTTCCAATAATAATTTATTATTTTCTGAAAATAGGCGAATAAATTTGAATCATTTTAATGCGTTGAACAAATATATATATATATTATTATTAAATATAAATCTGAATTGTGTAATGTATATCAAGATATACATAACTATTTTTCCATAATATTTGGCCTGAAATATTTTAAATGCGATAAAGAGTTAGAAAAAGAATTCTATATTATCTTAACATTTTAACAGGGGCAATAAAGCCTATTAAGTCAATCTATTAAATCTGAGTTGTGAACAATACTGATCTTAAATAAAAGAAGACGTAGATCATATAATGTCATAGATTATTTTGAAAAAGCTACGTATTCTTTCATTTAAGTATCGATAAAAATTCAGGCTGACATATCTAAATATCCTTTTGCAAAACGATATATTATATTTCATATAATATATTTTGAATATAACTCGAGATAGTCTATCGCGTTTGTACTTTAAGTATAACTACTTATTATCTCTCTTTTATGGTTATTGAGGTATTCGATTACGCAAATATGCAAGAATTTCCTCTGTACTTTTGGCTAAAATAGCTTGTCTTGGATTTTTAAAACAATTTCCAGATAACATGAGTGACCTGAAAATTAAAAAAATAAATTTATTTCAATAATAATAACACATAAATTTTATTATGTATTTACCTTATATTTGTTAAAGTTCCTAATTCTGCTGGCACATTGTCAATATTGTTGTTTGCAAGATTCAAAACAGCAAGTTTTTTTAGTTTCTTTAATGACGGAACATCGATATTCGTTACCATATTATCATTTATCACTAACGTTTCCAGAGAACTTATTTCATAAATATGTTCTGGTAGTTCTGTGAATCTATGATTACAAATAAAATTACATGCAAGCATAATTCCGCATGAAAATATTATTTACATCATACTTGTTATACCGTTGAGAATATTTTATTGTTATATGTGAATGAAAACAAAATATTAACAAAATTATATTTATTATACCTGTTAAAAGAAATATCAATATTTCGTAAATATTTTAGTAAACCAATTGTTGATGGTAATGATAACAAATGATTTTTGCTTAAATCCAGTGCCTGCAAATGTTTATATTTTTCACCAATCCATTCTGGTAAATGTGTTAGATTATTAGATGTTAGTTTCAAATCTGTAACTGTTGTTATTACAGAAAACATTTCATGTAATTCATGCATTTGATTTCTACTTAAATCAATTAAAGTTACACCCGCTGTATTTGCATCTTCTAATACTTCTATTGGCAACTCGGTTAAATTATGACCTGCTAGACTTAACATTCTTGTATTTTTCATCATATATCTAAAATTTTGTTGTAACAATATAATACTTTTATATTCTGAATACAAGTACCTAACAATTAATTTTTAATAACGTAACATGAAGAAATAGATATACAGTACACACTTGTTTGGGTATGCAATTGTGCTTGTATTCGATAACATTGAGTCATTTACATTTATATTAGCGATGTCTACACTTTGTTGTAAATGTTTTAAAATGCGGGATGTACCACATCGTATTATATCAGCTCTTACATTTTGTATATTATTTTCTTCAATAGAGAACTTTTTTAAATTTGGCATTATACCAATGCATACTGGTATTCTGCAAGTAAATAAAATTTCAATGATGTCTTGTTTACATTAAATATATAAAGAAATGTATTCAATTACTCACAAAGATATATTATTATTTGATAAATCAAGGTACTCCAAATTTATAAATTGAATTATTCCTTCCGGAATAGCTTTTATGTTGTTATTCCTTAGAATTAATACTTTTAATTGTCTAACTTCTTCTAAATGCAACATATTAATATCCTGTTAAATAATTTGAATTAAATTATTCATTTCTTCTAAGAATGTTGCATTGAAAACTCATTGCTTCTGTCTAATAATACTTAAAGGGTACATACAACGATATTGTTTTCTGATAAATGAAGTTCTTTTAATGCGACACATCCAGATAAATCAGGAAATATTGTTAATTTGTTATTTTGTAACATTATTATTTCAACTTTTCGTAATTCGTTTAGAGATGGTAATTCTTTTAATTCGTTATAACTCGCAATCAACTTTTGTAATGCTATGTAAAAGAGAATATTTTTACGTACATTTAATGTCATTCCCATATGATATTATTGAACTAGCGATGATTAAACTCACCTCTCATACTCATTATATCAGGTGGTAAATTTTTCAAAGAATTATGGCTCACATCCAAAAAAATAAGTCTAACGAGATACCCAATCCCGATAGGTAATTCAATTAAATTATTATGAGATAAATCCTACATATATATGTATAGAATTGCTTATTATATGTATGAGTATATAAATAATTCTAATGCTATGTATAATTAATTTACCAAATGGCTTAGCATAATTAAATCAGTTATTCCAGTGTCTAGCTCTTTTAAAAGATTGCTCTTCAAATTTAAATTATGTAATTCCAAAAGACGGTAAAATTGAGTAGGTATTTCTTCTAATTTATTATGTGATAAATCTAAAGTTATCATTTTCGTTAGATTTCCTATTTCCTTTGGCAATTTTTGTAATAAGTTGCTGTGTAACTGTTTAAAATTATTTTTAATATTTATAAAAATTAAACTATATTATTTTTTGCTGTAATTTAATTCTATTCTTTACGCATGTATTAGCATAATAAATTTTACATTTTTTAAAAATATTCAATAACTGGTATACGTACATCCAGTTCTGTAAGATTATTTAAATTATCTATTTGTGCATCAATAGTAGTTAGACTATTACAACTTAAGTTTAATATTTTTAAAGGTTCTTGTTCCCACCATCGCTGCTCTGTTTCATCGTAGTCAAGTTCAAAATTTAATTCTTTTAATTCATCTTCTGTTAATTCATTTATAGTCCATACCCTACTTGGTACTGAAAAGTATTAATTAAGTACAGCTGATATGAACATTAGCATTTTATTTCATTAATCCTAATATATAAATATGTTCTTTTGAATAAAATTATTTATCACATTTAACATTAGAATATATTAATTAAATTAAAACATACATTCACACAATATGATAAACTACACAATAATTATAAACATCGAATGAAATCTAATAAATGATACAATATAAAATAAACATAACTTACCTTGACAATATATAATATGCGATTTATATATGAAAGAACTGATATATATATATATTAAGTTGTGAAACATTAAATTAATGCAAGTGCATAAAAGCATGCAAGGCTGTTTCTAACAAGTCAATTAAATTATTGATATTATAACATTGTTATATTTCCAAATAATTTCTAATTTATAATAAAAATGATAATGTAATTGAGTATGATTATATTATAAAGACGATGTTGAACATAAAAAAAATGAGAGACAATGTTTTTTATGGGATATTTATTTTAAATAATATCATAAGATACAAAATAGTTTCTTGACCGTAAACATATATATCAATAAAGCATAATGAAAATTAATCATAAAAATCTGTAAACTAATACTTTAAAACCTAAACGAATGAACGAATATAAATGCATGATTAATCTATTGTATAATAATTATAAAAATGTGGTAATTGTTTATTAAATTTAAATATAGATTTTTGCAATACTTTTAAAACGTAGAAATGATCATCTAATAGACTTAGCAGAAGAAAATGACAATATTCTACGCTAAAGCATTAAAATCTTATCACAAGATTTAAATGATAACGATATTTAAATTCTCAATGGAGACACGCATGCATGAATGGCACAATACATTGACCAAGCATTCTGATATTCTTGAACATGCCTGAAAGAACTATAATTTCTATCGTAATCATATATAAACATATTGATAAGAGATAATAATAATAATAATAATAATATATATATATATATATATTTGCTTAATCTATCAGACATGTTTTAATATAAATACCAGTAAATAATCCTCTCGAGGATAGATTAAGTTGACCAGTTTTTCTTGCACGCATTATCATAGAATTCGATAATTCATCGTTATCGTCATTTTTCGTTCGTTGCTTAAACACAGCACAATGATTTATCTTTTTTTTATATTTACTCATTCTCTATCACATATCARAACTCGGTTTTATTAATTAATTACGCACTTAGATGATAATAAATGCGGTTTTTTTTTTTGTATTCCTAATAATGATGCATCAACATTTATTTCACCTGCTAGTTTATGATAATTAATTAAGTGTCACACACTACCAACTTGCCCATAGACTTGCATATACCTATGTTAACCTATGAATGGTTTTTATCCATTGTTTCTTTTCAAAATATTTTATCAGCATTCTATTATTTTATATGAAGAGTTCAATTTACATAAATATTATTATATACAAATATATATACATCTATGTATATATATATATATATATATATATATATATATATATATATATATATATGTTATTTGCTATACTTTAATCATAGTAAACGAGATTAGATAATAGATTAGATAAAAATTTAAATGTCATCAGAATAGAAAGAAATAGGATGCTGTGATTGGCTAATGTTAAATTTTCGCCAATTCTAAATTTCTATTTCACTCAGGTGGATTTAACTTAATAATAAAAATATAAGTATATCTTTATTGCGTTATTGATTTTTTAAAAATAATTATTGAAATTTTTGTTCTTCATTATTTTTAAAATAAAAAATAGAGAATAATTGTTATCATATCTTTTCTAATTAAAATATGAGAAGGGCGTTTAAAGGGGCGTGAAATAGCCATTTGAATCAGACATAACAATTTTGTGTCATGTGGGAGGCGGATTGGACAGTTTCGATCGGTTTTCTCTAATACCCCGACAAATTTAACTGAACTTTTTTTATTTAAAGTGCACCGACAATATAAACAAGAAACGCTTTATCTTTATTTAGTAGTAATTATTTTAATAATATTGTTAATTTTTAAAGTGACTGAAATAACATATAGTGTGTTTAATATTATATGTTTGATTAAAATTAAAAATTGTGTTTTAAAAATATAACTCTTATATATGTTCTAGTCGAAATTTACAAAATTGAAAAATATATTTTAATTTATATTAATCATGGCAACAAATCTTGTTAATTTATTTTTTTTTAAAAAGCAAATTTGGCTATTTTTATTCATGTTAAGTCAAGTCAGCAGTGGACATGAGGATGACATACACACTATACAATACACTAAAGAAACTTTTTTGGATGAAATCAAACAGAAAAATAGCTTTGTCATGTTTTATGCACCTTGGTATATAAATATTTATAATTTCTATTTAATTTTATATTTTATATTTTTTGCAAATATTATATTTTTATATTATAATCATGTTTGCTTATTGTAATTTGTTTACAAATTTTATTTAGGTGTGGTCACTGTCAAAGATTAGGACCGATATGGGCACAATTAGCGGAGATGTTTAACGAAAGAGATGACATTATTAAAATAGCTAAAGTTGATTGTACCGTTGATAGTACCCTTTGTAGTGAACACGATGTTACTGGATACCCAACGTATGTATTTTAAAGATATGTACAATTTTAACCCTTTCAAAACTATCGGTGATTATATTTTTCCAGTAATATGTAGCATTGAGGTTAACAATGTTTAAAATCTGAATATTTTAAATGCATTACATTGTAATTCCCGTCCTTTATCTACTTCATAATAAAATTTATGTCCATCCTTTACTGGCGTACAGTAGAAGTGTACTAACAAATGACATAGTTGCATTGTAAAGATTAATGTACATACTTTTTCATGTGTGTTTATTACAGACTTAAATTCTTCAAAGTAGGAGAGTCTAAAGGTACTAAGTTTAGAGGAACGCGTGATTTACCTTCATTAACTACTTTTATCAGTGAACAATTGGGTTCTCTATCAAAGGTACTGTTTCTGTATATATATTTAAATTATATATTTTGCTATCGGTGTATATGACTTATAATTATAGGCATACGTAATAATTTAATCAGGTAGAAGATGATACACCATCTCCTCCAGAACCAGTGAATGGTTTGTCAGAATTAACAGAAGAGTCATTTAATTTTCACATTAGGAAAGGTTATCACTTTGTTAAATTTTATGCTCCTTGGTGCGGCCATTGTCAAAAATTGGCTCCAACATGGGAAGAATTAGCTAACAGTCTTCGTAACGATGATTCCGTTAGTATTTCTAAAGTAGATTGTACTTTACACAGAAGTGTATGTGAGCAATTTGAAATAAAAGGGTATCCGACTTTACTTTGGATAGAAGATGGAAAGAAGGTAAAAATTTGGTGTTTATGAAAGAATAACATTTAAAAAATATAAAATCAATCATATATACATTTTTTTAGGTGGATAAATATACTGGTCAAAGAACTCATGAAGATTTAAAGAATTATGTGTCAACGATGCTTGAAAAAAGTGCAGAAGAGTCTACGAACAAAGACGAAAGCTCGGATAGTACCATTCATAACGTATTAAGTTTAACAGGTGATAGCTTTAAATATAGTGTTGAAAAAGGTATTTCATTTGTGAAATTTTTTGCACCTTGGTGCGGACATTGCAAACGTCTGGCACCGACTTGGGAAGAGCTTGGTAGAAAATTTTTTGCTAATGAAGATGTTCATATAGCTAAAGTGGATTGTACACTTAATACCTGCAAGCAGTTATGTTACGAGGAAGAAGTAGATAGTTTTCCGACATTGTACTTATATAGAAATGGTCGTAAAGTTTCCGAATATAATGGATCTCGTAATCTTGACGATCTTTATGGATTTGTCATGAATCATTTACGATCTCACGATGAACTGTAATCACACATATTTTGTTATTATTATCGTCTTTAACATTATGGAAAATATCGTTAAGAAATGTGTATTACAAAGATTTTTATGATCAAAGCTTGGTGATTTGTATATCTTATGAACATATACTATTACATTTTGATCAAAGTATACATGAATACACGTAGGATATTTCTTATAATCTATTCTATAAATTATTATTGCATTTTAAATAATAACGTAACGTAATTTGTTTTTAATTTACCGATGCGCTATAATTATATTAAATACGTGTGCATAGATCAATTTAAAATCCTGAAAGGGTAGTGGCAGAAGGGTAAAACGAACGAAGTAATTGTCCACGTTGTCTGTCTATATATAGAGTTTTTCGTTTAACTATTATTTCTCGTTCCAAATTACCTCTGGCTTTGATTAAACCAGCTTGGGTATCTTCGGCACGTTTTAATTCGTTTAAAGTTGCAGTAACTCGTTCTCCTAAAGATTTAACTTCATCTACGAGTCTGAAGAAAGAAAAAAAGAAAAATACTATTTCGTACGATTTACAACTTAATTATTTTCACTGAGAGAATATAGATAAATATGAAAACTATAATAGATTATAATCTCTATTTTCACTTACGCAAATTGTGGTACATCACGACAACTTTCAACGTTGCGTCGTAACAAACGTTCGGATAGACGCGTTTGTGCCAATTTCATTGCGTTATCCAAACCTTTGGTAGATCCTCGAAGTTCTTCGATTAAATTCTCTGTATTTGCGAGTTCTTGTAAACACTGAAACAAATTTTCTTCCGTATATTTATTCAAACTAATTTGTGTGAAAATATTAGTATAAAAGTTAATTTATACTCTTTGCAATTCTTTTTCTAATTGCAGACATATTCCTTCCGTTAAATTGATTTGTGTAGCCAATGCAATATCAACTCGACTCGCTTGATCACGAAGATCTTTTAATGATCTATTATAAATATCATCTAAAGTTGATCTAAGAGTAATTGATCTTTGTCTGACAGTTTCTCCGGCGGATAATACTTCTCGTGTAAAATGTTCGTAACTTGCAGGTGTTGATTGTCTAATATGATATATTAGAAATGTATGAACAATTTATATATTATTCAAATGTATCCTTTTGATGTAACTCACTCGGCTGGAAATCTGGTAGCACCGGGCTTCCATAATATGAAAGGTGATTCGTTATTCATTTTAATACAATTAGTATCAATTTTATAAGCATCAATTTTATCGGTCCAATCATTTTCCATTCTAGCTTTAGCTGCTTTTAATTCGATTAATTGCATTTCTATTTGTTCACGTGTTCTATTTAACAAGTCACGTATCTCCGAGCAAAGTGCTACTTCCTGTATATTACGTAAATAAACTAAAAAATCGTAATATAGAATTTGGTAGCGATCAGATAAACACTCATTTTATACACGTATGTTAATAATCAACTAATTCTAATCTTAATCTTAATTGACGATTTATCAAAGTATAAGCATTTTACTGTTATTATAAAAAGACTGATCTTTGCATTATATACAAAAAAAAGAAAAAGAATCATTAGAATTAAAAAACCATGAGTAAAAAACAACACCGTAAAAAAAAATGAGAAGATAAAAGTGTACAATTAGAAATGTAATTTGATTGTATTAAACTTTAAGTTAGAAAATTGTTAAATATTATGTCTCAAACCATGTATCTTATAATATGTATATATAAATATATATATACGCCATGTTCGTTTTATAACTTGTGATGTGAGATCATTTGGAATAAAGTGGATCAACTGGACAAATATTTGTTAAGATAATTTTGAGCAACTTATCATTAAAAAGATAAAAAAACTAAAATACATAATTATCAGTAACCTTTGTAAGTTCTTTCTCAAGATCATCTTTAACGAGATCCGATTCAAGACGAGTGGCTCGTAATTGTAAAAATTCGCCAGCTATAGATTCGGGAATAGTTATAACAGAAAGAGATTGTTTAACTCGACGTCTTTCTCCTTCTAATACAATTATTTCTTCTGTAATACTTTGAAGTGCTTGATCTAATTCTAATTTCCATCGATGGATAACATTAGCTCGTGTTCTTAAATAATCTGTTGTTTCTAATTGCTGTTTATCAGCTTCTCTATATACTCTCTCGATACATTGTTTTGCAGCAAATGTTGCATGTCTGAAATCAATATTATGTAATGTTTTCTATTATTTTTTATATCTTATCTTTCAATATGCACTTTAACATATTATTGAACGGTCCCGGATATAATCATGTTTTCACATTTATACAATTTATGTAATTATTGATTATGTAATTTTACTCTACAGGTTCCATAATGATGACATTCATAATATGAAGTAAAATTAAATTTTATATTTTTATACATTTACGAGCATATGTAAGAGATTTAAAAATTATATAAAATTATATAACTTTAGTTAAATAAAATTAAATGATTATATTTTTTTACTACATTAAATACTATTATTTATAATTAATTATTATATTACCAAATTTCTTTAATTTAAAATATCTTAATAACAATTTTAATTCATTTATAAATATAATCAAGATTTGAAACACATTATTTTTTACTTAATAGTAAATCTCAATAATATGTTAATTAGTAGAAAAATATACTGTTTTTTTTTTATAATAATTAAACTTACTGAGCTTTAAGAATATTTTCATCAGATTGTTGAAAAAATGTATGATTGTGTGCTCTCCATTCACTTGGGCCAAATCGAGTTATAGAATAGCGATCGGCAACAGGTCGTAGACCTGTTATACCACCTTGTGGAGTATATGTTACTCGACCTGTTGCCCATGGACCTGTTTCATCCATTGGTCCTTCATCTTTCATTGGAAGTTCATCTCCTGGTTGAGGAAAATATAATGGATTTTTCTTTTCATCTGATTCCTTACGAATTTTTTCGACCATAGGACAAGGAAATTTATCCTATAAATAATATAATATTAAAACAGTTTATATACATGTTAATTAATGAGTTAAAAAACATTATTGTTTATAAAAATGAGTCATTTATAAAACTTGGACCATGAGATCATGGACTAAGTAAACAAATTTTTAAAATTGATTTTAGGATTTATTTACTATTACAATTATTAATATTATAAAATAAATTGTTAAAATGTTTTAACTTAATTCTCTGTTCATAATTACTGACATCTATCAAAGGAATTCAAATTTTTTATAATAATTAATAAATCACCTGTTCCTTCACATTTTGCATAAATTGTGTATCACCACACGCATGATTTCTTGTCTCCTCGTTATCTAGCATGTTTTAAATATTATTATTATTATTATTATTATTATTATTATTATTATTATTATTATTATTATTATTATTATTATTATTATTACTAAATAAGAAATGATCAAGAATTGTTAATTTTTTAAAACAATATATATACACATGTACATGCATAAATATGTATAAAGATCCAAAAATAAAAGAAATTACGAAGGTCGACAAATATTTACATCTAAAATTTTGTTTTTCAGTTGTTTCTAAGGCTACTTTATCGATCTATCAAAACCTTTAAAATAAAATTCAATTACTTTTTTTTCATTCAAATTTTTTACGAATAAATGTATTTTTAAATATGTTGATATATCAAATGAACATTAATAATCACATAATTGACATTAATTTGGATAAGGAAGGATATGATAAAAATAAATATAAATATGCATGAGTTTTGCATGTATAATTGATATTACCTTTTGCAAATGTTTCCACGATGAATTGCCAAATTCAAATAGCTATCTCTAAATTATGATTGGTCTATATTCGAGATAAAGTGATTAATATAAGAGAAACGTTGAGATAAAATTGTCCATTTAAACTCATTCGTCGAAAGTATTGGACGATTTAATCTCTAAGAGAAATCTGTTTCTAACCATCATGTCGGTACAGAAAGTCGATATTAAATATACTCAGGTAAATTAATTCTTTAAATCTATTACATAATCTAAAAATAATTATTTAATAATCGTTAAAATTGATAGTTGTTCATTAACAATGAATTCGTGGATGCTGTTAGTGGAAAGAAATTTTCCACCATAAATCCTGCTAATGAAAAAGAAATAGCTCAAATATCTGAAGGTGACAAGGTGTGTATTTCTTTTTAATAATATTTAATATTTATATTTAATAAGATTATTTATTTAAAATATATTTTAATCGATAGGCCGATGTTGATAAAGCTGTGGCAGCTGCGAAAAAAGCATTCGCAAGAAATTCAGAATGGAGAACAATGGATGCGTCGTGTAGAAGAAAACTAATTAATAAGGTATTCATTAATATATTTGAAATATGTTAACATTTTGTTAACGTAATATAGTTTATACGTAAGCATATTATATTTTTCATAAATAAATGTTGCATATATGTATTCAGTTTGCAGATCTTGTAGAACGAGATTTAGAATATATAGCAACTCTTGAAACTATGGATAATGGAAAAACGTATGTTGACGCTTGTAACGATGTCAAATTTAGCATAGAAGTGTTGCGTTATTATGCTGGATGGTGTGATAAAATACACGGCCATACTATTCCTGCAGGTATATTAAAAATGCTATTATCTTTGTACACATATTAGAATAAAATGATATTTTATTATGATTATTTTTTAGATGGCCCTAATTTTGTATTTACACGTAAGGAACCGATAGGAGTCGTCGGTCATATTATTCCATGGAATTATCCATTCATGATGTTAGCATGGAAATGGGCTCCAGCTTTGACTACGGGTTGTACTGTTGTTTTAAAACCAGCAGAACAAACCCCTTTGAGTGCTTTGTATGCAGCAGCATTATCGAAAGAGGCAGGATTTCCACCTGGTGTCATCAATGTTATTACAGGATATGGACCGACAGCAGGAGCTGCTATAGCTGAACATCCGGATATTAATAAAGTTGCTTTCACAGGATCTACTGAAGTAATTATCATTTTTGTTTATAATATTCTTTAATTTTACAATAAAAATATTGTTTCGTCTTTTTTTTTTAGGTTGGACATCTAATTATGCAAGCATCTGGCAAAAGTAATCTGAAACGAGTTAGTCTTGAATTAGGTGGCAAAAGTCCACTTGTTATTTTCGATGACTTCGATGGCAAGTATAGATATAAATAAATATTACACTGTTTATTTTTATTTATTTAATTTGTATCAATGGAAAACATTAATAAAATAAGTTGATTAAATTATTTTAGTTAAAAAAGCTGCTGAAATAGCCTACAGCGCTTTGTTTATGAATCATGGCCAGAATTGTTGCGCGGGATCGCGTACGTTCGTACATTCTAAGATTTATGACGAATTCATAAAATATGCGAAGCAATTAGCGATGAATAGAAAGGTCGGAGATCCGTTTAATTCTCAAACAGAACAGGGGCCACAAGTTGATGAAGAGATGTTTAACAAAGTTATGGGTTTCATTAAATCTGGAAAAGAGGAAGGCGCTGTACTAGAAGTTGGTGGTGAACGTTATGGTAATGTTGGATATTTCATAAAGGTATTGATATTTTTAAATTTCATATTAAATGATTGCATATATACTACTCTTTATTTAATAATTTTAATCTAATGTATTATAATTATGTTAAAAGCCTACTGTATTTTCTAATGTAACGGATAACATGAGAATTGCAAAGGAAGAAATTTTTGGTCCGGTACAATCTATTTTGAAGTTTGATACTATGGAAGAAGTCATTGAACGTGCTAATAAAACTATGTATGGTCTTGCTGCCGGTGTCTTAACTAACGATATTCAAAAGGCATTAATATTTGCTAAGTCGGTAGAATCTGGAAGTGTTTGGTAAGTAAATAATAATTATTTTTATAATTAGTACATATATGAACAAAAATAATAGTTTATAAAACGGTATTTTGACTTAGGGTAAATACATATGATGCTATAACGCCACAAACACCGTTTGGTGGATATAAGATGTCAGGAATTGGACGTGAATTGTAAGTTATTGATGAATTAAAATTTGTTAAAGTTATTATAATTATAATATATATTTTAGGGGTGAAGAAGGTTTAAAAGAATACCTTGAAACTAAAACGATTTCTATTAAGCTGCCATTGAAGACTGACATGCTTAAATCCATATAAAGTACCATGAATAATTGAAAAAAATTTGTTTTTTTTTAAATCACTATTTTTGTATAGTATCAACTTTTTTCTACTTTGTACAATTAAATTTATATGATTCGTATATAAATGTTACTGAATAAAGTGCTCATAATAGCAACTCTTATAAGTAGTACAAGTTTATTAATAAATATCATACACAATTGTACTACAAGTATTTATTACTTAATTTTTATAGTAGTATAACTACTAACATGTTAAATCCTAAACAAAGGTTTACCTTGTTACTCAGAAAATTTGTTGCCAGCATTAAGGAACATATTAATTTTCTACAGAAGTATACATTCAATTAATCATAATCATCAGGTGGTATTCCTAATTCTTCATCTGTCCATTTTGATGCATCCGGATAATCAAAATGTCCCTAAACATACAACATTAAAATAAATGCTTAACATATAATATTTTTAATGATACTTATTTAGATACAATATGGGAGTAAAGTATTCGTAAATAATGATCACAGTAACACGCTTTATCTAACAACAAAATGTCTTCGTTGTATGTTTGAGAACATTTGGCGATTGAATTTGTAATAACTGTTGAAAATAAAATGTATCACAGTACTTACAACAAGATGCATATGATCATGCCACAATCTATATAGAAACCACCACCAAGCAAATCCACCAAAAATTTCGGCTGCTATTATATAATTTTTTTTGCTTTTTGCATTTGATGTATCTTCTCTATAACCCCATCTAAATATTTCAGAGGAACATATTTTAAGCAATATAAAATTACATATGTAGTTATAATTAAGTATGGGTTTGCATGTAAGTACAAAAATTATTGAATTATACATAATTAATTTTATCTTTGTTTTTTTTCGTAATAAAGACAACTTTGATGACATATTCGTAAAATTAAAAATAATTAATCATATAAGTAAAAAATTAATATAACCTTAATAAAATATTATGTAATACAATGGTACTTACTCAGCATGGGATGATAATCGAACAGGTTGATTATTAATTAGAGTATTTTTTCTTTTAACATGTTTCGAAATGTGTTTTACAAGATTTACACTTCTGGAAATTAACATTGTTACAAAGCACGATTTAAAACGTCATACAAATCTATCACTACTATCGTTATAAACAAAGTTTAATAAATAGATAAGATTTTACATCTTCTTAGAGAGGTCGATTTTTGATGTGATCGAAATGCCCTCTGTAGTTATTTTTTGGAAATAAAAGTCATTCCTTTGGAAATGTCGGTAATGTAGAAAGAAGCGGCGATGACTAATATTTTACATTGAAATTCACATATTCGTATACATTTATTTATGGAGAAGTAATAAGAGTAATGTAATTTTTTTTTTATTATGTATTTAAATAATAAATATCCTGTTATATAGAATAATATTTGCTTTAGTTAAATCCATATAAAAAAGCAACGATCGGTAAAAAATAAAATTAGTAGCAAACCGCACCCGCTTTCTGCGCACAATCAATAGTGCATTTCGTTTCTGTCAAATGGATAATGGCAGCAACAATGATTGATACGATGGCGCAAACTAATGCTTTCCAATCGAAAAAGAAAGAAGATCCGGAAAATAAAGACAATTTGTGGTAAGTTCGATGATCAATCATTGATAAATACTTCTAATTATTTATCATATTATTAATGTAAATAATTTTTTGTTTTTTTCATATAATATGCTTACAACATTTGTCATATGCTCCTAGCACAAAAAAAAAAGAATAATCTTTTTAATTGATATATTTTACAGGTCCTCTATTCTGGCAGAAGTACAGAACAGCGGGAACAACAAACTGCCATCTAACAAGAATGTCCTTGTCTTGGGTAAATTTTCATTCTATTAATATATTTCAAAGTAACGTTTTACGTCAACGCGTTTTGCATACTAAATCCATATAGGATCAAGTTTTTTCCTACAAGAATTTTGACCTTTCTTATGTGCCATTGCAAGAACAAAAATTATGATATCACAATTTTGCTCTTACAATGTTGAAATTCTTATAATTTATTTGTAGGTGATAACGAGAGTGGAAAAACAACTCTTATCGCCAAATTGCAAGGAGTGGAAGATCCTAAAAAAGGCTCCGGTTTAGAATTTGCGTACATTGATGTAAGAGACGATTACAGAGATGGTAGGTTAATCATGTTTATAAATTTTATGTTAAAGTTGCTATCATAAAAAAAGTTCTACATATTATAATACCTTTTTCTTTTAGATCAAACAAGATTATCTGTGTGGGTTTTGGATGGCGATCCAGGTCACGCTAATCTGTTGAGATTTGCATTAAATGCTGCAAGATTTCCACATACGCTTGTAATGCTAGTAGCTGCAATGACCACGCCGTGGGCTATTTTAGATCAATTACAAGCATGGGCTGCTTTATTAGCTGATCATGTTGATAAATTGGGCATTGATAATGACACCTGGCAACGGCTCAGGCAACAAAGTGAGTCATTCTTATTGTTAATTCAACAATTGTTCTTTAATTCTACTTAATATTTCATCTATCCAAGTATATGCAGAGTATTTATGAAGTATGTAGATTTATGAACAGATCTGTTTAATCAGACATTAAAAAATGGCAAGAGTATACCGAACCTGGTGACGAACTAGATCCAGGAAGTCCTTTGAGACGTACCAGTCGTAATCTCGACGATGAAACAACTGAACATATACCTTTACCTGAAAGAGTACTTATGACCAATCTAGGCTTAGACATTGTCGTGGTTATAACTAAAACTGATTATATGTCTACCCTTGAAAAGGAACACGATTATAAGTAAGAATTAAATTGAATTTATAAATCCCTTGCACTATGATTTAATGCATGGAGCTGTATGTCATATTTAGTGCTTATGTTTAATCTGTGAGATTTGCCACGAGTAGATCCCATGTTTCTCATGCTAGAGCTGTAAAGATTATCACGAGTTTCACACATTGTTATAGCACGAGGGGTTAAAATACATTTTAACAAATTTTTGTTTATATAGAAAATTATATTTTTTTTTTTTTCAGAGACGAAGATTTTGATTTTATGCAACAATGGATTAGGCGGTTCTGTTTGCAATATGGTGCAGGTCTTTTCTATACATCAGTAAAAGAAGATAAAAATTGTGATCTATTGTATAAATATCTTACACATAGAATTTATTCGTTACCTTTCAGAACGCCTGCTTTAGTTGTAGAAAAGGATGCAGTTCTTATGTGAGTATTTATATTTATCTGAAATAAAAATTTTATAGTTTTACATGTATCTTTTTGAAACATCGTAGTCCTTCTGGTTGGGATAATATGAAAAAGATTAGCATCCTTCATGAAAATTTACAATCGATGAAACCAAATGATTATTATCGTGATATTATTACGCAACCTGTGACAAATAGAAAAGTGAGTTATTTTGTATTCAGTATTATTATTATTATTATTATTATTATTATTATTATTATTATTATTATTATTATTATTATCATTCAAGGAAATTTATAAAAATTAATAAATAAAATTATTTAATAAACAGTGTTTGATAAGAGAAGTGGAAGTTCAAGCAGAAGATGAACAAGCGTTTTTAGCAAGACAGCAAGCTACGGCATCAGGTTTGAAAGATCCAACACGTTCACCTACAACAAGGAACCAGGCAAGCCTCGGCCCAGTTATACAGGTTGTACCATTTATAATTAGAGCATGCTCCTCGTTTGCATATCATTAATTACAGAGCCTGGAATTATATATACAGTGGTAATATTATTACTACGAATTTGTTAAATAATATGGTAAATCCATTTTTGTTTTCATTTATGTAATATTGTTCATGGAGTGAAAAACTGCAATCAATCGTCTTTACATGTATCATTTTTTTACAAAAATATCCTTTTCATTGCTTAACAAACATTTATTGATCAAAATACAATTGTGAAAAGTATTAGGAAAATCTAATGTGTATGTGTTTAGCATTATCATTACATAATGCTTTTTCATGAAGTTGCATAGTCCAGATTTATGTCTAATCGACCTTCCTTTTTACGGTTTATGTTTTTGCCTATAATATCCATTTTATTTAATTGATATTTTTGTTCTTATTTATATTTAAAATTATCATTATTGTTTCAAAATATTGTGCTTATATGCCATTTGATAAATAAGAGGTAATTAACTAATATTTCATATATAAATTGATTATATATAAATATAATCTTTTCTGATAGATTCATGTACACTGACGTTCTTTTATGTTTGTGTTATTTAATGTTCAAGAGTCCTTGCTGTTTGCATCTCAGCAACATGAAATAGGATCATCATGTGCTTATTGCAGTTAACGTTCAAAAGCATGTTCTAATCCATGTGGTATAATCTGTTAATCATGTGCATAAAAACGAATATAAGTAGGTTTCCTTATGTACAGACATACTAAATTTCTTATAATTAGGTAGCATCGCCAAACAAGAAATTGGATTCCAAAGGTACCGGTACCACTGCTGCTGGGGAAGGCGTATTAGCTAGCTTCTTCAACTCTTTACTTTACAAAAAGACTGCTGCGCTTCCAGGTGTTCCAGGATCACCGGGAAGTATAGGTGCAAGTCCTGTTAAGCTTGGTGCGTAGTTATTAGTTACAATGGTTATTTATTATTTGACATGATATATTAATTAAAAAAAAAAATCTATTGATTTATATTTCAGATAGTACACCAGTAGATAAAGCAACAATGTGCAATGACGCTGCAGCTGAATTAGATCGTCTAACGCAAACTAAAAAATTGTCTCCGCCTAACTCGAATTCATCGTCCGAATGTTAAATGAATAATTGATATTTTTTATATTTTTCTTTTTTTTTTTGCGACCCATTAAAATATCAATCCGTAATATATCTATTTTCATTCTAATCAAAAGATCAATATTTGTGCGCGAGTATGCTTGACTTATCCATTGCAAGCATCTTAATTCTGTATATGTATATATCGTGACAATCGGTATTATTTTATTTATTTTTTCTATTTATGTTTAAGATTGCATAATAATCGACCGACTGTAGCAGATCTTTTTAATTATATTTCACTAATTTTAGAAAAAACAATTACGATTAGCTAGTTGGAAAAATATACTCTTATAATTAAATCATTTATGTTACAATGAATAATTTAAATTTAAAATAATATAATTATTTTAAATCTCATAATCGAATATAGCACAAAATACTACTTTATAGTAATTTAAGCGTAATCAATTATTATTTTAGAGCTTACATAATAAAAATCAAAAAATCATAAACATTTTTAAGGAAAACAAATATTCTTTGGAACAATTCATTTATCTTTTGTTAAATTAATCAACTTATGCTAATCTGCAAATTTAATCAATTAAATCATTTTATTTATATACATTTTCTTTTTCTCTATTTTATTACGTCTATTTTCTTTTTCTTTTTTTTTGTGTTTATTTTATTATCTCAAATTTTTATTTAAATCTAAAGATGGGTCGCAAAATATTGTAATACATAATAAATATAACACAAAATTGCAATAGGTAGTCGTGTAAAAAATAAGGCACATTTATCAATCGAAGAAACAATAATTCTTAAAAGTTGCGTGGTTTTAAGGCAGCCTTAATCTGTTATTAAATACGATTAATAATGAAAAAAAGAGTAAAAAAAAAAAAAATAAAAAAAGAAAATAATAAAAACATAATCAGGACATGATCTTGAGATACATGATAATAATAATAATAATAATAATAATATAAGAAAATATTTAATATAATAGCTAATTTGTGAATTAATATCTTTTTAGTAAATTATTTAATTATTATTTAAATTGAGGCTTCTCAAACTTTTCCACTTGGTGATCCCCCTTTATCAGAGCAGATATTTTTGTGACCCAGGATATAGATTTTTTATTATCTTTTCTTTCATTATCATAAATAGACATAGACATTGCTAAATTGGTTTTGAATAAATTTTCGGTTGTAGCGCGTCCAGGAATTACGTAGGTTTGCTTCAATTTCTGCCCCCCCCCCCAAGTTTAGTTATGCAATCTTATACAGGGTCGCGATTCACGCTTTGAGAAGTCCTTAATTTAGGCGAACAATCTATCACTGAACTATGTTTCTTTTTTCTCTACTGCCAACTGGATAATAAATATTGTTATTATCATTTGATATCAAATTAGAAGCACGTTTATTAGTAAATCTCATTAATATTATGCATAATATATATTGTGAATATATTTAATAATTCTTTTTATTAGCTTTTAGAAGAAGTTGTTATTGTATTTTACACGCAGAAATTAAATAATCGTTTGTGCTCACAAACGCTATACGAGATTCCAAATTTTTTGTCCTGTTTTTTATCGAAGCAACATGTTGAAAAGAGGGTATTCTAGTCTAGAGAGCGATAATTTTTGCTTTTTTAGGATTTAATAAAAAAAAAAATTATTGATATGATAATACCAAATATGCTGGTTGACATGATTTTGAGGTTTATTCATCTGACAATGAAAAAAAACAAAAATTCTTGTTTAGAAAGGTTGTCATCGTGGATTTAACCCTTTGAGTGCTACGGACGCATATATGCGTTTGGTAAAAATTACTAAACATTATCATTCGAAGCATATACGTGTTTGTTAATATTAATGTAAAGTAATTTAATATTTATATTGATTAATTAAATTATATTCATAAAAAAAAAACTTTAATTATTAAATATAATTTATTATTAGAATCTGGTTAATAATAAACTATTCTGTTCCTACAAAAACATTTTAGGTTAAAGTATTTAGCATTCAAAGGGTTAATTACAATGAAAAAAAAATCTAAAAATGGCAGCTGTTAGAAAACAATTTGTTCTATGACTTTTTTTTAAAGTCTTTTATTTTTTTAAAATAGTAAAAATTAAATTTCGCAATGTTCATAGTATCTACCACAAAGCAACATTGTACTGAAGGTAGATGCTAAATTTGAAGTTAATTGAATAAATAAAACTCGAGATATGCCAATTAGCTTGAAAAAAGTAGTTTTGAGAAAAAAGCGTTTAAAGTTCTGATGTGAGCTGGTACCATACCTGATACTACGGTATTAAATGGCTATAACTTTGTAAATTTCCAAAATTTCTAAATTTCCTTTTAAGGATATATTTTTAAAGATCTATATTTTCCAAAAATGAAAAAAAACATCGAATTTTTCTAAACTAGAATACTCCTTTAATTCGATTTAATTAGTTTCTTTGTAACACGTACTTTAGAAACTATTTATTTAATAATATATTTTGTATATTCAGTTGACTGTAACCAATTGCTTCACTTATGTTAAATCACATTCTCTAATATTTAAAAATAAATAATTTTTCATAATATTCGTATACTGCAAATTCTTGTTATCATAATTATTTAATTTATTATATTTTATTTCATTAGTTTTGATTTTTATTTAAATTAAATATCATTTGATCTGTTATTTAAAATTAATTGAATCAAATTTTATCTTTAGTTTATTTATCTTTAGATATATTATGATAAATGGTGTTTAAGAAAGTCATTTATTTGGCAGTTTTGTATTTTATAATATTACAATATATGTTAACGTGATATATATATATATATTTATATAATAAATTGTGTGATATATATATATATATATATATATATATTATGAGGCTCGTAATTGGAATTACATTCTTTTACAGAAAGGCAACTTATTGTTTATAGCTCACTTAGCAGCATTTTATATCGTTTTCTGCCATTTTACGTTATATATTTGCGCGATATAGTTATTATTTAAAAGAAGAAAAAAAAACAAAATATATACGAATAGATTATAGAAAAACAAAACAGAAAAGAAAATACAAAAAATAGAAGAATGAAAAGATAAATTAATGATAATTTCTTAATCATCTTAATCTTTTCTTTACGAAATTGAATCGAATGAATTGATGAATCACTGAAATTGATTGTACTATTGAAACTGTATCATATTACGTGTATATAATAAACTAAATAGATATTAAAATATATTTAAAATAATGATAATATTTTAAAGGTGTTTCGGTAGAACAAGTTTTGTTAAAAAAAAGAAGAAAAGGAAAAAGAAACAAATGGATAATTACTCTCAAGTTTCTAATAATATCGTTACATGTGATGTTCTAATATTTCTACTGTATTACACGATTGATTAAATATAATTGAATACTGAGTAATTATATAAAGTCTTATTGACTTATATATAATACTAAAATTATATATATAATATTTTGACACACAAATTATGTTTTGTTGTTTCTTCTGTTTTTTTTTTCTTTTTAAGATAACAAAATTTATAACCCGATGCATGCATATTAATAAATTTGTATATATATATATATTCATAAATACAGGTATAAAAAAACATAAACCAAGGATGACGAAGAATGTTTTATATATATATAATTATAATAAAATATAAGTATGTGTACCAAGAAATAATCTTTCTTTTTTATAGATGCAATAGCTTTTCAACTGTTTTTGTAATTAAAATAACGTTCATAAAATTTGTATATGCATTTGGGAACGTATATACTAATTAATCATTCATTCTCATTTAACAGGTAAGATATAGAAAAAGACCATTCCTAATTTTCAAACATTCAATTAATTGAATGATCGTCAACAATAATTAATCATGATCAGTATAGACAAAGCAATTATTGTAAGTACTATTTATTACTAATCATTCATTCTCATTTAACAGATAAGATATAGAAAGATGATTATTTTTTAACATTCAATCAATTGAATGATTGTTAACAATAATGAATAATGAAAGATGTAAACAAGGCATTTGTTGTAAGTATTACGTATTACTAGTAATACGGAAGTATATAATTCTCTTGTATCAACAACAAATACTGCATATATACGAATGATAACAATGAAATGATTATAGCCTTATTCGATTAAAACTATGGCTCAAGTATACTCCTACATAATCGTAATAATGTTTATGGTACCCTCCAATAAAAATTATGTTAATTATTATGTTAATTAATTAAAAAGTATTTTTTTTTGTTTATTAATAATGTTCATTAATAAGGCTGATTACTCTTTTTCTACATACATAATATATATTATAATATATCTAAGTAAATAATATTTAATATACGTTAATCAAATAAAAATTCATTCCTTATTAATTATTTTCCGGAATAATTAATGTCAAAATTTGCCATTAATTCATTCATAATCCATTATTATCACGCTACGTAAACATTTGATCCTATTTAATATTAATTGTATATCGTTTAAAAAGTTAGGAAGAAATTTAATTATTTCTTAAATTGTCAAAAAATGGAAAGAATTGTAACGAACGTTAACGAGTTTGTTTCTCATAGGATGTTTTGTTGTCTCTTACACATTTATACTGTTTTTTTTATTCATTAATTTTGTATTAAATATTTCCTATACGAAATACGATTACGAAGTGTTGATTTTATAATCGTGTATAGATATCGTTTTTTTTTCAAATAATAAACATGCAATTAATAATAGGACCATCACGATGATTAAGGGAATGGGAAAAAGTTCGCGGTCATTACGATTCCATTTGCGTTATATTATAAATATGCAATTAGGAATTACTATTAGATTATTAGATTATTATTAATATTCCGATAGTTCTAACTCAGAACTAACGGTCAGTCTATTCAATAGAGCAAAATGCGTTTGTCTACTGCTTTGCGGCATATTGGACACTCCGACATTCGATCGCCACACATTTGACAGGTTCCATGGCCACAGAGGAAGATCATATTTTTTAAACGATCCAAACAAACTGGACACATTGTCTGCAAAAGAAAAACATCATTTTTAAATTAAATATTATCAAATTTTCTCTTTCGGCTATTTCATTTAAATATCAGATTAATCCGAAAGTCCGTTCATATTTGGATCACATGAATGATTAACTTTGATTCACTATGTTTTACTACTACATTTTAAATTAAGTCATATCTTCTTTTAATTGTCATAATCAATCTCTAAGTTTTCCATTAACTTTTGTCAAAATTTAATTTAAAAGAGAAAAAATAAGAAATGAATATTGATGCATAGTACAAATGGCAAGTTTTGTAGTTTTCTTTTAAGGTATAAGTTTTACTGCAGACAAAATTTATTTCATTATTTAAAAACTGCTTAAGGATGATGTTAAAGATTTAAGGAAGAGAACAACAGTTTTAATAATAAACAACACCATTTGATGTGGTTTTGGTTTATGGTAAAATTTTGTATATGGTATGCATAAAGTCTATCATTTAGTTTGTATTGTTGCAAAATCCTTAAGAAAGGAAATATGAACGAATTTTTGGACTGGCCTGATATTATTTTTATCTAAAGATATAATAAACGCAAGGAAAATATAACAAATAAAAGGGACACGTACTTGTTCCTTGATATCTTGCAATTGTTGTTGAAGTTTCTGAATATCGCTGTGAGACGTGTCTCGACTTCCATTGTTCATCAAAAGAGCTTCCCCACCACCAGTATTGGTATTGGTATTGGTATTGGTGTTAGTATTGGTATTAGTATTGGTATTGGTATTGGTATTGGTATTGGCTGTCGGTATTGGCACTGGTTCTTCTTCTACGTCAGCTTTAACTTCTGATATGGTTCCTTTAAATATAAAACCGTATTTGTTTGATGGTCATAATACGTTTCTCAATTTTCTTCTCGTTTGTCAGGGACTAGGGTTTCATTTTTATAACGTAACAATATATACTAATGTTTTGAGTTTCTACTCATAGTTTTTGAATTATTGAATGAAAATTAAAAGACATTGCATTTCAAGTTTCTTGATAATAAAAATTGCAGAAAAGGTTATTTACAAAACTGAAGAAAGTTTCTGATATTGTTCAGCTTAAAACTTAAAACCATTTACAAAATAAGACAAATTTGTAATGCAATATTTATTTCATTGAGTTAATAATCATCTAATAAAATAATTTTCAATCAGGAAGAGAGGGAAAATAATGGTTTGCAAGGACTCTCTGGCCAAAGTGATCTTTGTACCTGAGGCATTGCACCCCTTAATGTAAGTGACATCACCTCCTCCACCGCAGCAAATTGACAGCGGTACCATGTGCTGAATTTGTGTTCTGCACTGAACACATTTCTTCATTAAGGCAGCACAACTCTCACAGGCACACATGTGACCACACGGATGGAATAGGACACTGGCCTTGCGATCCGAGCAAACAACGCATTCCTCGATCTGTTGAAGTTTATAAAATTATTCTAAGAAGTTCAAAGAATATTTCGGATGAATTTTAGTGATTTATGCGTGATCAATTTACCTTCTGTTTGGTAAGAATATTCTGTCTGCATATAAGACATTTTTTCACTCTTGGAGCACAAACGTTGCAACAGGCAACATGTCCGCAAGGACTGAAAAGCATTTCACGTTTTCCATCGGTGCAAACGAGACATTCGTCAATTGTTCCCGATGATGGTGCGGCTTCTATGTCGTGTCTAAAAAGAAAAATTCATATATAAATAGGATGAACAACTTAATTTTATGGTATTTTGGATTATTTTTTGAAATTAAACAAATTTTTCTATATACTGTTATTAAAATAAAAAATTCATCTCTGCAGAGATTGAATCAATTTTTGTTATTTAAACAAATAAAAAAAAAAAGAAAAAGAAATGAATCACATATGAAAATAAAAAAAGAAAAGTGGAAGCGATACTGACGATTCCTTGTCTTTGTGACATGTTGTCAAAGTTTTACAAAGATTTGGATCTGGACATAGATCCAAGGGTGTTTGGCCCTTTTTGTTTTTCAATTCTAGATCGGCACCATGAGCTGCCAGGAAGCAAGCGATGAAGGAACTACTTTTCTTGTCCTGACCCTGTGCACCAAGACCCATTAAAAGACGACCGACATCTCGGACGTCCTGCAGCTGTCGCAGCTGTGACAAAGTGTGATGTCTCAGAGCTTCGTGAAGTGGCGTGTCACCGTCTTTGTCGGCCACGTTCAAATTTGCACCTTCTCGTACCAATAACTGCACAAATGATACATTGCAAATTACATTCATTATACCGTTTAATTTATATTCCAAGAAAAAAAAAACAAAGTTTCAAATTTAACCGAAAACGTTCCTGTGAGTAGAACAAATATCAAGAAGAACAATCATTGATAACAATTTGTTGACATATGATATAAAAGTGAATTTATAAATTAATATATAAATTACGCTAACATGTTTTTAAATTGATTTTCTATATCGAAAGATAATAAAAATGTTTTTCTACTTACTCGGACAATTTGTGTATGTTGTCGTTCAACAGCGAGATGTAGAGCGGTCTGCAAATTCACATTTTGCAAATCTAGATCGGCTTTTCCAGCACGCGCCAATTGTTCAGCGACTTCGACGTGATTGTTCAGAGCTGCCAGATGAAGTGCCGTGTATCCATCGTCCTTTTTCTCGTCGACTATCCACGGCCTCGGTAATTTCGACAGCAAAACGCGCATAGCACTGTAACAATGGAAAGAAAAAGATATTGAGAGTGAAATAATAGAAAATGAAAAGAGGGAAAACGGACGCGTTTTTTAATCGTCGTTAAAATTGTCCCGACCCATCTCTTTTTGTTTTGTTTTTTTTCATTTTTATTTCTTTTTTTTTTAATTCCTTATCCTCTTTATAAACAATCTCATAATTCATAAGAGCGAACGTTACGGGCTAAATAATTACGGTCTTCTTACGCTAGCGTAACGACGTACTTCTTCTTAAGAGCTTCGTCCTGCTTTCTCGACAGAGTAAGAGAGTAAGGGGAGATAAAGATAGAGAGAATAAATTATTTCTTGTTCTAAACTTCTACACGATTTTCCTGGAGTACAAGTTTATGTTACGATTAATAAACGAAGTGGAGGATAATAGGTGGAAAAGGGGAAAATGAGATTTTACTTTTCTACCGACGAGAAGTCTGTGCGCGTCTTGACGAAGGGGTCTTTGATCAGTTTCATTCAAAGACATATAGAAATTTATATATGTAATATTTATGTATTAAATGTATATAAGGAAATATATACATTTTCAGTTGTGTCACATGATGTGTGTGTATGTATGTGTATGTGAACGTGATCGTGAAATCGATATCGTTGAAATCCATTCGTTTTATAGCCATCGGGACATCGGGAGTATCATTAACAGATGCGATTGTCAATTAACGAATATCATAAACTACGGTTATCGCGGCGGTTATTTTGGAAGATTATTATTTAGTACCAAAGCTGCGTGTACTATAATAACCATAACCGCGCGTATCCGCTTCATGGAATCGATCGTACCTCTCAAACTCGCGGTTTTCGGAGCTTCATTATGTAAACGATTAATGCGATACGAAGATATCGAGGATTTTATGATCGTAAGATATGAAACGTTATGTTGATAGACACCATTTTGATTTATTCCCAGATCATGCTTGTTGTCTTCGAACGTTCTATATATTTGCTCAATATATTTTTATTAAACATAAACATTGAATTTAACAATCAGTTAAATATTTGATTTATAATGAATAATAATAATATGTAACAGGGTGTTTAAAAATTATTTGTACTATTTTTCTTTGTTGTAATAAGTGATTAGTTTTAACAAGTTTAAATATTTTTTTTTTAAATTTTAGGAGAAAATTTATTTTTTCTTTTTACTATTTTTTTACGTACAAAGTTTGTTTGTAAAGATACAATTCACGGATCAATTAAAATAATATATCCACTGATTTCTTTTTTTGGAGATTCGTCAAAGACATTATTTACAATATGCGGATGACTGACATTGATGATTTAAAAGCAATCACTGTTGCTACATGAACGAATTGATGCTAAAATGTTGCAGCGTACACGTGACAGCATTTGAAAGCTTTACGAATGCACTAATGGTACACATATGAAACGTTCGTAACATTATTATTTTAATGAACGAAATATTGAAAAATATAAATTTAAAAAATTAATAAGTAAAATTGAATAATAAAATTACCTAAATAATTTGCAGATATCATGTAATTGAAGTAAACGTGTTACAACCTTGCACGAATGATTGACTTTAAATTTACAAAATAAAATTCTCTTTGAATTCACCACAATTATAATTGTAAATAATTATATTTAACTTATTATTTAAAGAATATTATTTATTTATTATTTAACCTAGTAAAAAGAAAAAACACATACAAATTAATCTCGAAGGAAAATTAAATCGACGAATGAATTTGTGCAACAAAATGTTGATGAAATCAAAGGGAAGAAGAGAAGAGAACAGAATCGTCATTTCTAATTACGGCCCTGTTATATGGACCCCATGGAGAGATTCTGTATCCCTGAGGTTTCCTACGATGAGAGACAGCTGTCTTTTGACAAGGCCTCCTCCTGGAGACCAAAGGAACACTGCTGAGCCACGACGCAGCTTGACATACTACTATGCACGTGTTACCTCACATGAATGTATACGCTATCCGTTCGTGACATGCGATTAGGAAGACTGCCTGTGTCTTTTGGGAACAATGATTAAACCTTAAATATCCCCTTAGGTATATAATAGATGAGATATAATACAATAGATGATAATTACTAATTTACCAATATTTTCTTATGGGGTTTGTTTTCATCTTTGATTAAAGAAATATTGTGCCTTTCATATTTAATTATTATATTATTTATTTAGAAGCTATATATGTTTCTTTTCATCGTAATTTTTTGTGAAAGAAAATGAATAATATATATATATATATATATATTTATACTAAATTTAAATTTAAATTTAATCATTGGAGATTTAAATATATCTTACATACATAATAATTTTTATAAAAATTATTATTAAACCTTTCAAGTGTTAAATTCATCATTGGGTGTATTCAAATTTTCGATTAATAGTATATGTCTGTGTATACTTAAAACACAAAAGCTGCCTATTTTCTTTCCTTATTCTTCTTACAATTTAATTGAATTCTTTATCGCGACATTACGATGCATTATTCTTGTCTCAACACGGGCATCGTTTCCTTCCGATTACAACGTAGTCAGAAACATTACTCCGACTCCATAAAATCTTTACGACGCGAATATAGCCACGTATATGGCCAAGGCTCATGGTAAAAGGGAAACCAGTCGGTTAGAGGGGTTGAGGGGGGGATGACGTTGAAGGCTTCTCTTCTCTTCGTGGATTTCTTTTTCGTAGGCGTCATAACGACAACATGGGTTTTTGCATTCTGTTCTTATAGCAACGACGTGTCCTCGTTGTCGTTGTCATAGTACTCTCCAAACCACATCCCCACCTTTCAAAAGGGTGGATAGTGAAGGGTTGAAGGGCTTGCACAGAAGCTAGTCGTGCGTAGATATAGCCAACTTTTCCGACATGAATATGCAAACGGGTAGTTCCAATGTTGCCATTATTGCGTTAATAACAATAAATCGATTATCTTACAATTAGCAATTTGTTTGCATTCCCACCACCTACTCTTCTTCCTTTTCCTCCTATTCCACCTTTCTCATCCCCTGCTATCAACCCTTTTTCCACCCTTTGGTCACGTTGCCGAGATAGGACAGGTTATTATCTCATTATCGAACGATTAACATCTATGATATATTTATTTGAATTTTTATAACGTTCAAGTTCAATTTCTTTTATCTAATTTAATTAAAATACATTTATTTTTTCTTTTATACGTTAGAATTAATTCGTAATATAATTAACAAATACTTGAGGACATTTCAAATTTTACGACAGTCAATTTGGTTTTTATGCAGTTGTGGTAATAAGACAAAAAAAAGTGTTAAAATAAACCAAAAATTAGATATTATTTTTTGTATAACATTGAACGAAAAATTTTCGCCAATTTTGAATAGAAAATTCAAGACTAAAAATGCATTTATATTTAATAAATCGATCGGTACAAACTTTCTGATCAATTCAATAGCATATTTAATAGGGTAGAAAAATGAATGTTGTTTTTTATATTAATTATATTCTATCGATTGTATTTGTATTGGATTTTACGTTATTATCCGTTTTGGTGAACATCATTGTTACTTAATTCTATCTTGAATGAAGCGAAATGTGTATATTTTGAAGGCATCAAAGGGGTACCCGGAGGATACGAGGTATCGAAGGATGTGCGATCAAAGTTTGAACGTAACGACGGTCGCCCATAGCCTCGAGGTTCCTAGGATTCGGATCATTAGCTGCTATCTCGAAACTCCAAGTAAATAACAAACAGGAGCACTCGTGCGCGAGTATTCCTATCGCAAGATGGGAATCTTCAAGTAATTATAACGCCAAGTAAAATCGTCTCTTTAATGTGTATGTCTGCTTCTTCTTTAAAAATCAATAAATATTTGAAGTTTCAATTAATTATCGATACCAACATTATATTCCACGCGTTAAAATCAAAATAATAGTTTCAAAAATAATTCTATATAATACTTTTTTCACATTACTTTTAATCCGAGATTATATTCATAATATCATTTCGATACACAAATGTTACGATATTATAGAAAAAAAAAATTATTTAAATTACAAACACACTTTATGAAATAATGGTTTTAAAATATAATGAATAAAATAATTTTACACATAATACTTTTTTCGCATTATTTTTAATCCGAGATTGTATTTATAATATCATTTCGATATTATAAAAAAAAAAAATTAAAAAATAATTCATTATTATTATAATTGTAGAGGAAAATAGAAGGAAAAGAAAATATTAGTGACACAAAGAAAAACTATTGGATTAAAAAAAAAAAAATAATAGTGAGAAAAAAATAACTGGGTATAAAGAGACGACATATCGGTAAAATAAAATCACAGATGAGGATCGAGGAAGATCGATCATGGCCTCGGTCACTCCTCGGTGTTACGCAGTCGTGAGTTTATGTCGAGAGAACATTTAGTGAGTCAATGACAGTCGTTCGAAGCATTCATCGAGCGGATTCGTGCGTGATCTTTCCATCTCTTTTCATAGCATTCCCTCCTTCCCCTCTTTGCCATCTAATTCTCTCTTTTTCTTTCTTTAAACGATCATGAAAAGAGAAAGAGAATGGTTCTGGTGTTCCGTGGTGAGTCAGTGAGATGATCACGTGCCAACATGCTAAATATAATTGACACTAAGCGATTTACACTGCGAGAGAAATCGATGCGAATTGCGTTAGAGATTGATATTTTTCTTTGTTTTATTTTTCATTTCATTTTATTTTCTTCCTTTCGATCCGATCGACAGAAAGAGAGAGAAAGAGAGAGACATTCGAATTAATTCGCGTTATTCATAATAATCGTCGTCATAGTTTATTTATTTATATCGATTCATACAACACGTGTCTTATGTATTCATATTTCTATATGCATGTAAATACGTAAGCATATTTTTTTTTTTCGAGTGCAAGTGTTCCAAGCAGAGAAAGAAAGAAAGAAAGAAAGAGAGAGAGAGAGAGAGAGAGAGAGAGAGAGAGAGAAAGAGAAAGAAAGAAAGA